ATTAATTAAGTCAGGATCAACTTTATCTTTGGTAGGAAAGGGTCCCATACCCAAAATTCCATTTTCCGATTGTAACATAACATTCATTCCTTTCGGTATATAATTAGATGATAGAACTGGTATACCAATGCCTAAGTTAGCATACATGCCGTCGCGGAACTCCATTGCTACACGTTTAGCTATTAGTTCGCGTTTAAGTTGCGCTTCGCTAGGCGGCTTAGTCTTTTTATGAGCGTCATTATCAGTTATGGTCACTTTCTCTATTCGTTTTTCGTAATTGGAGCCGAGGAATAGACGTTTCACATAGATACCGGGTATGTGCACGTCATCGGGATTAATACTGCCGACGGGAACAATTTCTTCAACTTCCGCTATAGTAATTTTAGCGGCACGACACATCGGAGCATTGAAATTACGGGCAGCCTTATTAAACACTAATACAAACATATATAGACGAAGGAGATAATTAAAAAGTTGCCAAGCAATTTGTTCTAGAGTAACTCACCCAAATTGCCATACTCATCGGCTTTCTTAGCCTTAACGATAGCAAAATCTGCTTTAATAGCCTCTTCCATAACATATTTTATACCATTAAATTCCTGGACGGGTTTGGGTTTACTTGCAATTTCTACTTTGCCGTCCTTAGTATACTTAACGGGAGCTCCACCCTCTTGCACTAGAGTACCATAACCGGTGGGTGTATAAAAAGCGGGTACGCCTGCGGCTGCTGCTCGAACCTTTTCAGCTAAAGTGCCCTGAGGTGTAAACTCGACAGCCAACTCACCCCCTAAGTACTGTTTAGCCAAATCGGCATTTTCACCTACGTAGGAGCAAATCATTTTACCCAGTTGTCGGGACTTCAATAAAATACCCAAACCACAATTTTCTATGCCGCCATTATTTGAAATTGCCGTCAAATTTTTGATACCTCTCTGATGTATAGCTTCAATCATCTTCTCGGGTATACCGCACAAGCCGAAACCACCGAACAGAATCCGAGCACCATCGGGTATATCGGCTACTGCATCGGCAGCTCGTTGATAGATTTTACCTTTGCCGCCGGACTTACCACTTGTAGAATAACAAGCAATTATCTAAAAACGACATGAAACAATTAATGAAAATTGGAGACAAAGAATTTTCGATTGCATTATATGCCCTCGCATCAAAATTTTCATACCTCCTCCTTTCCTTATTAATGATAGATTTAAATCTTTAAGCCTTTTTAATTAATATAGTTTCTCTAGATAAAAATTTGGATGTGCAGGGAACAAGGAAAAACTTGAAAATAAACTTAAAAATTTGAACATATTTTTTTGCTTTTCAGTCAAACGGTCACCTTTGCAATGTAATACATTAAACTGCTTTTAAAAAATAAATAAACCGGATTTTGTTTATCATGTGCGCATATAAATATCAATCGGTATACAATATGCAAATATGGATAATATTCGAATCGAAAAGAAAAAAAAGAAAGAAAGGAGAACGAACAAAAGAATGTCTGCACATTTTAACATGATCGGTTGACTACTTCTTGTCCGTCCATTGTAACATGATAATGACATCATATATATTATGAATATGCTCTTGAGGCAATTCGGAAATTCGGGTCGGTTCATTTACAATTTGGTATTAGCGTAGCACGATTCCACCCAGAATTTACTGCAAATCTTTGTTCAGCATTACCTTTCCAGTAATACCACCAATCGATAAGAGATATAAACATGCGTTGTTACTTGCATGCCCATTTTGACATTGTCATCTTTCCACGATCATAAAATCGCTAAACCGTATGCCAATATCAATTTTGGCCTAGAACAAGTCTGTCAGTTTATGAAAATCGTAAACGAAAAGAAAGCGGCTCTACAAACTGGACCAAATTGAAGGCAAATTGATAATAATAAGTGCTTGCATGTGCTTTGATCAGCGACGAATAAATGATAAACGGATCATTCAACAACATTTTGGGCTTAAAACGTCAAATCTTGGCTGGATTTCTGCAATGGATCTTCGAGACCCTCTCTCCACAGCCACCATATTCACCTGACTTATCCACATGTGGCTTCTGGGTATTTCCTACACTCAAGAAACTACTCCGTGGACAATGCTTTGACTTGATTGAAGAGTTACAAGCTGAATCGCAGAAAGCTTTCTGGAGATCGACTATGCCAATTCTTTCAAGAATCGGAAAAACCGTTGCCCTAAGTGCATAATATTTGAGGGGGACTACTTTGAGGACGACAAAATAGATTTAAAAAAGAATAAAACGGAATTGTTCTTACTTTTTGAACGCATTAGTATATGTTCGATCAAACCATCATCTATTCGCCCTTTTTAACTAACGCACAAAACGAATGCCAATAAGGAAATTGCATACACGTCCTACACAGCATCTATTAATAGAAGAACATTATTGTCTGCGAGAGGCGCGGCTCTCTTCTGTCGCATTCAATGCAAAAAGAGGGAGAATTCCAATGTCACGAATACAGTGAGTATTATAACGTTGTAACGCAAATATCATTTTCATTATTTTCATTCTAGATATCTTTAATTTAGTGCTTGTAACTTCAGCAGGTGATGGGTATGTTAGATTTACATAATGTTTGTAACGCATAGAAATGTGCTTTGAAATCGTATAACATACACCCTTACTTGGTCAGCGGGAGTAATGACATCAATTTATTTTGTAATGTCATCGCTATCTTTGTCCCCCCGCATGATATACGATACGATTTGCGACATATGACGAGAGGATAGATTTTTGCTGCAGCTTACAAGCAACCTACAATGGTAGGTTCAAATCAATTCAATCGAAGTCAGCGTCTTCCTTGCTTCGCCAAACGAAAGAGAGCAACAACGAATGTCTCGCCATACAATCAGAAACGCACTCTATATAGAATTCGAACCACATATGCATTTCTGTATAGCTGTGTAAATGATCCCAAACCATGCCAATCCAACATATGTTTAATTGCATGTTTTTGTGGAAGTGAATCCAAGTAAAAATGAATCAATGACCAAAAACCCCTATTACAATTAAAGATGAAACCAGATGAAAAAGCTATATATCACCCTACAATAAATCTCGGATATCCGTCAAACAATAATATAATGAAACAGTACCCTTTCAGTTTCTTGCTATTCGAAGAGCTATCAATTGAATCGATGCATACTCAGTCGTCCAATTAATGCCTGCTATAGACAGTAGATGAAAAGAAAAAAAATCATTTTGATAAACTAAATACTTCCTACCCTTAACTACGTTACTAAGGCAACAACGTATACGCCATCTACGAGCCTCATGGATTCCAAGAAGACAGAGGAGAAAATCGTTTATTGGTGCGAGAAAGATTAATTGCGAATACAGGAGTATATCCATCTCCACCTTTATCGAAGGCGCATCATAAAATAAATGGATCGATTGAAATTATAATGAATTCGTTTGCGTATGTAACACATTTTAGCCTTCCTTTCGTTCTTACTCTTGTTGTGTATACAAACATTAAAAGAAAACCTAATATTTGAAATTTGCTAGTTTTCTTTTTTTAACTTGTGTTGAACTAAAGTTATTTGACTGTACAACGTAGGGGAGAGTAGCAAAAAAAACATTAATGAATTTTAAGTTCATTACACAATCCTCACTTACATAGTGCATACAGTGAGCGGTGAAACAATTTCAATATTTTTCTGAATTAAATTTTCATGTCCTCCTCGTGTCATGTTTTGTCGAATTCTCCGAACGTGATAATATCAAAATACGTTCTTAGCGTTTCTCAAAAGCAAAGATTATATTTTACAAAGGTGGACATAACACAATATTGTTGAAAGTTGATCTTATCTCTATATATCTTTGAACCACTTACTGCTTAAGCGTAAATAATGGCTAATTATCATTATATAGTAAGAAGGCATTTTGTGTCACTAAACCGATTTTTCTGCGGTGCGATTTTGTAGAACAAAGTAATCGATTTTTCAATCAAGGAGCGAAGGGTCTGGAAGTAGGTATCCTCACAAAGAAGATTTTTCCGTTTCCGTAAAAGCATTAAAGTGCTTTTCGACTCAAATATTATACAGTTTAAGAACCTTTCCAAAAACGCTGATAATATTCTTCCAGAAGAACCGTGTAATAGAAGCGAGTATAAGAAAAATTGTAATGTATAGTAAACATGCAAATGTTTTTCACGCAAATGTAATTATATGCATTCACATAATATTAACTCTATGATGAGCACGTTTAGTATTGCGTACTAAACTTTTATTTTTCTGTTGTCATGGTTGCAGAGTTTATTTTTTGTTTATTTTTTTTAAATATATTACGTAGAAACACTGCACAGATACCCGCCTGCATTATAGATAAGCAATATTTGACAATAATAATAATAATAACAACAACAACAAAAACACTAGCATTAAAATATTTTTATGCCCACATAAAAGTAAGATTTTAATGCTTACCTTAATTGTATGCTTCCCATTATAAACACAATTATTAATAACTACACTTCTAACTTGTTGCATTAACATGATTTTTCTTATTTATTAAGGCACTATATTATGTATGTACAAAAGCAATAATTTTATATGAATGAACGACAAATTTATTTATATTAGAAGTACGGAGAATACGGCAATTTCTTTCGAACCTCGAACCCTCGAACGAATGATTTGTTGGTAGAAAAAACATAAATATATTTTAACAAATTATAGATATTGACATGTTAAATCTGGTCACCTTAATTACGTTGCTACATTGCGTCTGCATAAGCAGCCAAAGCAACTGTTTGTATAAGCAATACCTTTTATTATTAAATCTTTTATATTAATAATTTCTTCTTTAGTAATTTATAATAGAGAAGAATCGTTTTATTATGGCAATTCAATAATATTATTAATTATTAGTCCTAATTTCATTAGAATTTTTTTAGGATGCGAAGGTTTAGATATAGTAGTTAGTGATATATTTTGAAAATGTTCATAATGTGAGATATCTGAGATATTAACTGCTTTATCTCTCTAGAGATGTTGGAAGTTTGGTTATATTAGCAGCAATAGCTGCAACGATTAATAGAATTCGTGCTGCAAGAGAGTATTTATCAATTCAATTTAATTTAGTTTTATTTAATCGTTTAATAGAAAGAAAATATATTATTATAATAAGAAAATAATTTGTTTACAAAATTATTATTATTATTATTATAAATTTAACCAGAGAATAAATCCTAAGACTAAAGTCTTAAAGCACTAGCATCTAAGGCTTTCGGCTTTACAAAAAACTCTACCACTAGTCGAGACTCTTGCCTACTCGGACCCTCAGGCGAATGTTAACAAAATTTTTCTCAAAGAAACTAAGAAAAACAAAACAACCAAAAAAATGTATGAAAAGAGAAATTTTACTTTTACTCTTAGAAAAGTCAAAAACACCTTTCATAAGAATATACAGCAAAGTAAATTTTACTTAATGTAGTCAGTGAGATAGTATATATGAAGCTACTGAGAGACTAACGACGGCAGCATTTTGAACTGATGAAGAGAAGCAGAAACACAAATTTTTACACTGTTTAAAAAGAGTAACTGAAAGAGAAAGCATCTCTTGACCATTGTTTCTAAAACAGCTAATATTTTAATTTCTAGTTAATAGGAAAAATACAAAACATAGGTTAAGAGAATTTCCTTGTGCTTCAGTTTTTCTGCATAATAATATCAACAAGTTTTTATCACCTTTAAGAGGAATGGTGATGCCAGTGCTTCAAAGTATAATTGTCAAACAAAAAATGTTGAAATCTTTATAAAAATTTCAATAAATTATGTACTTATTTGAGTTTACCCAATTGTTTTTTTAATTTTTATTCACTTCGTTTTAAAAATTTTGCAACTTAATATATTATGACATGTATTGCTCATTACGCTTAACAACACTGTTAATACTGTTTATTATGGATGAGAACCATTCAATTTCTAGCCATACAGCTGCTTGTTTAAACTGCACATTCATTCAAATGAAATGAGCAGCTGTTCTTTGTTTTGTTATTGCTTTGGTTTTATTTTGATTTTGCAATCGGTGCTGTCATATCCTTATAAGAAGAAAAGCGTAAATTTTAATAATTACAAATGTTCTTCACTTAAGTCCAGTGTGTTTATTTCTGATAAGTAAAATTAAAAAAAACTTTTTTGGAGTATTACAATTTTTGAGATTTTAACAAATCCACACATTTAAAAATGTTTTATTATAACGTATAAATCAACTAATTTTAAAAGGCTAAGTAGTTCTAAAAAATATATAGATTTGACATTACTGTTTGATACAAAAAAAAAAACAAAAAAAAAAACACTATAAATAAAAACTAGCAAAGCTACTACTTTATCATAAACACATAAATAATGTAAAAATATAATTTGCTTTACTATCAAGTATATTAAATAAACGTAAGACTTTTGTTAATTCAGATCATAAAGAGATCGAAAAATAAAACTTTACTGATGCATAAGTAAATTGTATAAAATTTGTGAGTTCTCTCTGATTTTTTGTATATGTTAACTAAAGTACAACGCGTACAACGCAATTAATTATCAATATTTAAGTTGTGATTTTGTTGTTTTTTTTTTTTTTTTTCTTTTTTAAATGTGAAAAAAAGGAATCTCTTACGTTTATTTGGCTTCAAGATAAGCCAAGCAATACAAGTTCAGCACTTCAGAAAACTGTTCTTAATAGCAGTCACCCACCAATACAACCATACAATTGGCTGGCTTCAAAGTCAAGTGTAAAGTGAACATAGCGTCCGAGACTTAGCAAGGCATTAAATGCGAGTGCTTTATATAGATAGATAATAATGAGCTTAACTCGTTGAACAGTAAGCGCTTATCAATGCCACAGTTTATTATAATTTATATATTATAATTAGAAACATTACCACCGTTATGGTCAGTGGCGACCAAGTCTATCATTGAATTTATAAATGATATAAAATACTTGACGCGAATCTTTATCTCTGTTCGATTCTCTGTGACGAGGATTTATTTTGCAATTTTTATATTCGAATTGCAAATGTTGCGGAGGGTCAGGTATTAAAAAATCAATTTCACAATTTAAATACAATTTTTTGTATAAATAAACAAAGGCGAACAATTATTTAACTTGTTGGGAACTTGCACGAATGCCTTCTGTGAAACCCCTTCGTAAGTATATGTATGCGAGAGCAAATCTAAACATTTTTCATGTATATATATATATGAATATATATATCCGGACGCTGAAACTTTCCTATAAATTAAGAACGATACTCAGCATCTACATACGTATCTAATAACCAAGAGCATGTTCATTTTGCTACGCGATTTAAATTTATATAGGATTATATGTTCACCTTAAGAAGGGTCTAATGTTTAATTTCGAACAATGTTCTATGCATATATTACTAAAGTATTCTTACTCTACGGTAGTAAATACATACATACATCAAGTAAAAATATAAATTTTCCAACAACTTGTGAAGATTCATCAACAGTCATATTTGGCCAGATAAATTTCATAGGTTTCTCTATTCTATATTGGCATGCAAAGGCGATAGTGTTTTGCAATAGCCTAAACCAAAACAAGTTCACTTAAGCAATCATAGGGAGCAGTTGGAAAAACAGAAAAAAAAAATAATAATAAATAAATTGTTAGATGTTAAAGAGAAGGCACAAACTGATTAACAATAATTTCTTTGTAATAATGTATTTCCCCTAACCCGAGTGTAAGTCATCGATTAAGGCTTTTAAAAGAGATTGAATCTGTAAATGGCTTAGCTTTCATTTATAATAACATAGTTATAGAGTCGATGAAATTATCTCAACAGAAAAGTATTATTATCACGCATCGTTGCCCGTTGATGAAAATAAAAATTGCAATTGAATAACAATAAAAACAACAAATGAGAAAGAAGTAGTTTATTAGATGGAAAATTTTTCATTCTGTTTCTTTATATTACAAATTTTCAAGTCATATCAAAGCGTTATACAGCTTTTCCCTATGTCATATTTAATCCTTTACTTTTCATGATCCTCTCTGAATACACTCTCTCGAGATTTTGTCATTTTTGGTTTTAATTTTTTGCATTTTATCTGCCTTTATATAATAATAGTGATAAAAAAAAAAAAAGAAACAAATGAATTCTGTGTATGCTTCGTTTAATCCTTTTCGTGGATTTTTTTTTCCTCCTATCCTCTTTAAACATACTTTCTCTCTTTTTTTTCTCTCTTCTTGAATTCTTGAAATTTTATCTGTTTTTATATATAATAATAACAATAATAAATAAAGAAAAATAAGAACAATTTTTTTAATTGCATATACAGATCCAACTCTTTTTCTTCGCTTCGGCTTTCAGTAATAAAGTAACTCTTCTACTCTGCAGATCTACATGAAATAGAAATCAAAAGTGAAGCTAAAGTTTCACGCATATTAGTAAGAAGCACAACACCATAATAATAAAGATTACATATAATAAGAAGAAAAAAAAAAAAAAAACGTGTACATATATATATATTATAAGTACATACATATGAAATAACTGTTGATCTGTTTCAAAAAACGATATGTTTAGTGAGCGCTTGTTATTAAATATTGAATTATCAATTATTGCTGCTAGTTGCCATGGAAGATCCCAATAAGACATACAACAATGACGAATATCAATCACTATTGCATACCTTGAAAATAATTTGGCAAAATTATACTCATGTTCTTAACGATGCCGAAACAAAGGTAAGATCACATTAATTGTTCAAATCTAATCGAAAGGTATAAAAAATCTTGCTTTTCTTCTCTTTTATTTTTTTATTTACAGCAACACTGGCTGCAATTGTTTTTATATAATTTTCAATTCGTTTGTTCCGAGTTAGAGGAAAATGATGACTTTAAAAGGTAGTTTGCTATCATTACGTTCACTATTCAAATATGAAGTTTTACTAGATTTGCAATCGTCAGGACTGAGTCTTAAAAGTCCCTAAAAGTACATATCTATGCACATATTCTTGATCAATAGAGGCCGATGCGTCGATTTAACGATGGCCCAAATATGTGTCGCCTATTGGTCATAGATTAGGTTGCAAATGCCCATTGTATGCTTATCTAAAGCGCATTAAATTGGCAGCCTTTGCGAGATATATATCCAAAGCAGAGATCCGGATCAATCAACTGATATGCCTGGCAAAGTATTTTACGATTTTATTTTTTAGGCTTAACATATTAGATAGCAAGGATTGACCCTAATTGTACAGAGGATCGTCATTGCTTTTGTCTATTTTTATATTATATATATATATATTTGTCTATATATATATATAGACAATATAATTTGTTCAAATCGATTTCAATCTGTCTGTCTGTCCGCTTGAGACAATTTTTGAAATTTCGAAAAGTAAAAGAAACAAACTTCGAGCTGACACATATGAAATGATAAATGAAAAGTTACGAAGAGTTACATAGAACATAAATGATCACAAACGATCTTAGTTTTCAATATTGTACCGCTTAACGTATTTCGTCAATTATTCTCGAAAGTATTTATTTGATTTTTCATGAGATTTTTTCAAAGCACCTGAAGTACGGGCCAGTTCCAAGTTTCCAAAGATGTTTTGATTCAATTGACAATGAATTAAATTTTTCATTGAACAATGCCCATTGTAAGAACACGTCTGACAAACTTGATTCCTTGAGAACCATTAAGGTTAATACTCGTTTAGTTTGCTTATTATTCCACTGCCTCTATTGGATCCAAAGCTTCTTCTTTTTTTTTTAGATGGACTTAAAACTTTCGCGTGAAAGATAAAAATTCAAAAGTACGATTGCATAGATTCCTGTTGCCTACGAGCTTTTCCATTTGTTTAATCATTTTTGCATCACACGGGTGCAATTCGAGAATTTTCGTATCCAGTAATAAAACCATTTTTCGAAAAAAAAAAATTCTAAAATAATTTTAACGCAAATTTGAAACGAATACTTATCGGATTTGCTGAGAAGTTGCGGTTAAACAGCTCCGATATGCTCACGATGGGTAAACAACTGTTTAAAATTAAGAGCAAGCCAGATTGCTTCAAAATGTAAACATAGACTTTTTTCGTATTCGATTACCTAACACGTAGTAAGAAAGATAAGATGTAGTTAGGTAGCAAATATTAGAGCTTAGGTATATGAAAACTGAATACATTTTAGGTTAGCCGTGCCAATAGCCAATAGCATTGCCATTTGTAACACCCAAAAACACACATCGTTTACCCCATTAAGAATATATGCTGTTCGGTTCCGATATAGATCGATGGGTTCGTTGAAAGTTTAAAATTGAAAAACGAAATTTGTAATATATGTGTGGGTACATGTGGAAAATAGGCGTGATCAACTAGCAACAAGCATAAGAAGAACAATAACCAAAATGAATGAAACGATTAATGCAAATATTTCGAGGCATTAAAACGACTATAATTTTCATTTTCTTTTTTTTTTGGGGGTTTTTGAATATCATTATTTTAATTTAATTTTTTATAATTTCTAAATGTTATTTTTAATCTTAGCTTTTTTAAGCCTATACCGGAAGAAATCTGTTCTTATCTGTTGGAACAAATTTATGAAATTATCAGCACATCAGAATTATACACACCTGCCTTATTGGATGCTGGAGAGTTGGAAAAAGCTGCCCAGCCTCACAAGACAACTTCAGAGAAAAATACGACTTTCTTGCAGTTAATTAAGAAAAATCATAACTTTGCTCAGGTTAGTATATTACTAATTTATTCTATTAATAAGTCCGTCCATCTAGGCTCGTGTTGCTATAGCTTTACCATATATATATATATATATATATATGTCAAAGTCAAAAATGTATAATGCGTCATTAGTCGATATTAAATATTCGACCGACTCCTTTATGCCCATAGATGAAGAATCATGAACACTTACTTACTCTAAATAGTTTTTGTTCAAACAAATAAGAAAATTATATCCAACTATCGCCGAATCTTTTATAACCACGAACGCTTGTTTAAAAAAGAAAAAAAAAAAAGAAAAAAAATAAAACTTTATTGCTCTTCTTTAGTATCAGATAGGCATGGATTTTTTGTACAGTTGCCGCAGAATCATCCATCAAATGTACAATACGTGCAAATCTTTGCTATAATAGTGGTAATAATGTGGAAATCTTCTAATTTTTTTTTGCTTCTGAAAACAGAGGTATTCTCGAGTTATAACCCGTACTTTACTGTCTCCTTTGATCGGATTGGGCCATTTTCAATACTAAGCTGCGTATAAGAATAGCCGATATCGGAACCTTTGCGACCGACAGTAAGTCTACCACCGGCAGACCTACTGACAGGCATATTTCGATCGATTCCGAATTTGATTTTGAAATAGAATATATACATTTCATAGTGTCCCTGCATATAGCTCCGTCTTTCGGTTTTTTTTTTTAACTAAGAAATATTGAACATTTGTCCCTAATCCAATGTTTTACTTGTTCTGTTTTTCCAAACCTAGTTAATCTTAAGACAGCCCAGTGACTGCAGTAAAATTTTAGCTTTACGTAATTTTCTAACGCATCAACTGGGTCATCATATATTGAAATTTCTCTTAAGAATTGATGTAAAGGTAAGCAAAACTGTAAACGACAATTGTTTTTGATGCGATCATAAATATTTACATATATATATATATATATATATATATATATTTTCTTTCCAGTTGGTTGTTTCTCAGAAAAGTCTTTGCAATCTATGCATTAACTTATTTCCGAATTGCTCCTGGAGTCAGGAATGCAAAAATTTGAGTTTCTCGGAAAATATCTACGCTTATGTTGGAAATCTGAATTTCTATCAAAAAACTAAAACTAAACCATCTACACCTAGGACCAGTAGATCATTTGAATCTGAAAATATAAGTTACGACACTGTTAAGACCAACCATCATAACTATGCCTGGGATTTGAAAGGCAATGAGCCAACCCATGATTTCGATGAATTTTTGCGTATGCAAAAGACAAGTGACGAGATCGCCATACTATTAATACAAGTAGTAAAAAAGTGTACATCCCTAGAATATGGAGTCAATGCGATTTTAAATAGTGAGCATTCCGTTAGCATGATGGCTTTAAATTTCAGTTTGGATTGTCTGAGGATGGAAAGTGATGCATTTTCATCTTATTCGAATGCAGAACATATCAAATGTCAATTATTACAATTAAATGAACAGTGCTTTAATAATATATTTTTCATCAGTCAACAGCGAGTCCCCGATCTGCAATTCCAATGTGTTTTTGCTAAATTGGTGGCTGCTTTGGAGATTAACATGGAACATTCTAAATTACTCTACGCATTGCTGTTCATCATATTCGGTTGCCTGCATAATGTTGTTACGATCTTCGGTTACGTTTACAGCAAACAAAATTTATATCATTTAAAATTCGTTGATGAGAATATGGTGGACAGATGTATGAACGCCATAGATCATTTGCTTAAGAACTATCCCCCTTTACAGGAAGATGTCAAATCTTTATTTACCACTATATTTCGGACGCTTTTGCGCATTATTGATTATTTAAGCAAATACGATCAATTATTAATCAGTAATGCAGGGGCGGTATTATCTAGTGCAGCACATATTAAACCACCACGCCATCGTAAGTTGAAGGGACGTCAAGTACATTGTCATCAACACATGTCGCCCAGGCTAAGTTGCTACTTTCAAGGTATGCTAATGGGCTTATTAACCTCGTTGCCTCTGGACTTGCAAGAGCATTCAATGCTTTATTTGGCCAAATGTGGTACGTGCTGCTGTCATTATACCTTGGCCCACTATTATGACGTATTTAAAGTAATATTGGTTTTGAGTCCATATCATCAAAAGTGTGCCTATAAGTTTCTTGCGTATAAAATTCTCAATACCGTGCTTGGGCGTTCGTCCGTTAATGACTATATGACAAACTCCTCATCGTCCCGCAAATCAAATTTAAGCAATTGTGCTAAGTGTGGAGTAAAATTAAAATCGTTGGAATTCCATGACGGCCTTTTGGAATTGTATTTGAAATTTTATAAACAAATAAGAGAACCGGAAAATAATTGGCATTTACTTCTGTTTCTCAAACATTTGAAGCACATATCCTATCTATTAACTAATGATATAGCATCTGGAATATTAGCCTCGATTGTTTTGCCTGTTTTTCGAGAAAATAAGCAACGCTTAAACGATAATAAAACTCCACAATCGGGAAAAATGTTTTGGCCAAGATCTCAACCTACAACGCCGGTCGCAGACACTGCTAAATCTTTACTTAAACTTAATACGAAATTGACAGAAGATCCAATTAAATTGCTGACAGAGTGTCTCAACATATTCGCCATGTATTTGCGCGATATACGTTTGATAAAGGCCTTTTATAATGAGGAGAATATACAACATTTGGAGGATTTGCTGGAAGAGCCCCCGCTAATACGGGGTGTATGCGATCTCATTAAAATCGGTATTGATAATATAACATTTTTGGGTGATAACAGTCAAGAGCAGCCAGTATTAAGTCGTCGTCTTATTACTTTGCAGCTAAACAGTTCAAATCGTGCAAATCATTTATTTACCGCATTAATCGCCCAAATAGTTAAGACGAACAAAAGGCAAAGTTCATATTTTTGGCTAGAAGCAACTTTAAACCATAATTCAAAATATTCCAAATATAACGCCGTTAACCCCTTAAGCGCTTTGGATATTTTGCATATTGTCGCTTTGCAATGGTGCCTAAACTTTGAACTTTTGAAGACTAGTCAATACTTTTACAACGAATTTGCGAAAATCTATTCCATTGTCATGGACGATGACGACGACAATAATGATGGTGATGGTGATGGTCGTCATGATGATGATGATGATGATGATGACGATGATGAGTATGGCAATGTTCATAAAGCTTGTGCGGGAATAAGAAGCAAACATGAATATACGAATGCCGGTACATCGCTCAAACGAGGCGATAAGACAATTATCGATATTTTACGTCTAAATTACAATGCATTGTCGGCATTTCTAATGGTGCCAACGACGAAATTAAAAAAATCGCAACCAGTCAATAGCAAAACCACAAACAATGCTGACAGTTGTCTAACGAACTCGGTGGAAAATCTACTTTTTACGCTAACGACGGCGCCACCAGCAGCAGCAACACTAACGGAACCATTGTTTAGTACGAGTTCTACTACCGATACACGAACACACGCTTCAAACTATTATCATAGTTTGTTTGACAATTCTATAAGTAATTCAATATCACAAAGTCAACCGTCGTTTCTGCACAAATTGCTTAAAGCAAAGCAAAAGGATTGTATTCTTTTAGGAAACGAATCAAAAGAAAATATTATTCTAGTATTCGACATAAAGAACCAATCGGAATTTTTTCTGAACGCCTTTCCCGACGAGAGAGCGCTAAGAGCGGTTGAGAAATCTGTGAATCATCTGCATACAACGTATGATTGCTCCAATAGGAGTACATATGAGAATGCTAATCCCGACAAAGTGTACAGGAACACCAATAGTGGCCAAGAAAGTGTTTTCATTAAAATTTTTCAAATATTTGGCTCTTTGTTCGGTACAAGTCGTACAAACTCTTTAAATGATCTATCGAAACCATATCAAAGTGCTACAATAGAAGGGAAACAGCCAAGTGAAATTGATAACGAGCTTTTATGTCTATACGAGAGTCATACTGATTGTAAGAGACTCCTATTGAAGCTATTCGAAACGACTATGGCTATATGCATTAAAGGATATCAAAATGAAGAAGGTAAGCGAAAGATAATCCATTTTATAAGAAATTTAATTCAAAATTTCCACTCGAGTGTCTTCAATCAGGCCTCTAACGTGTATATATATATACATATATATATATATATATAAAATGTGAATTCCATTCACTATATCCGTCTAAAAATTTAAAAAAAAAGTTTTTCTTTCTATAAAAAAAAAAAAAAAAAAAAAAATTATTTATTTATGTTTTTAATTTGTGTATGAGTCTCTCAAGAATACTATTGAAAAGACAGAAGAGAAGCCATACAAGTAATTATTACATGTTTATTTTAAAAGTACTGCAACGAATAAGAAGGAAAACTGTATTCACCTTGCGTACCCACCACCTAAGGTAGACATATAGGAATAGAACTTTTTTCTTCTCATTCTCTCTTGTAAACACGCTAGTGAGCCCGGTATGACCAAAATTATTATCATAGCCTTGCTAATTTTCATGTACCTATTTACTAGAAGTCGAAAGATGTTAAGAAAAGTGTATTGAGTCTTTCGAGCATCGTAAAGAACGAATCTCTTCAAATCCCCAACGGTATAAAGTATATTCCTGATTAGCTTGAATAGTGTTTCGTCCCTCTGTTCGACTGTCCCGACTGTGAAAATTGTTATGGAAATTTTTGGACTCTCTACCTGTATGAACACACTCACTCGATCCAGAGTTCAGAGTTTTTCAGTAACTTTCGTTTAAAGCTAAATGACTGCACGAGATCAAGTAGCGAACAATTGTTACGATAAACATCATACGTGACAAAAACCCGACAAAGTATGGTTTATGAAATTTTCTTCAGTCGCTTTTAATCTTCAAGGCACCTCTCGCTCAGATGACAGAATTAATTGTCCCTTTACATTCATTGAAGTTAGCCACGGTGACCAGAATTTTATTTTACCCCTAAATTAAAAATTGCACACATAATTGTTGATTATACTATTAATAGTAATTGAAAAATAGTTTATGAATCAACTATCTCGCTATTGGCCTATCCCAACCGGCGAATTTTTTATTTTCAATATGTTGTTCATTTTTAATAAAAATAAGTAAACACAATACAGATGGGCACGACCCATCGTTAAATATCCTACAATATCCCGCAATTATTCATAAGCTCTGACCTTTCAAAATGAGATGTTATATAGGGACTGGGCGAAAAAGTCGACCAATCCGAATCATTCTCCTTAGCGTTCGTTCTTTAGTCAAAACGCGCCAGTGTGCCAAACTTTATTAAAATATCCCAAAAATTGCGAACTGATTGAACGCAACAATACTTGGACAGACATCAGCCGAAAATGCAAGCTTCGGTCGAAGCAAAAAATTGATGCTGAAATGATCGGTGTAATAAAAAAAGTGGGTCTATCTTAGGGCCTTCTAAGTGTTACATGCGTCCGCACAAACCTAACCTAACATACCCTGTGTCGCAAGTGGTGTAGGATATACAAAACTTTTTTACTCCAGCAGCCAATTCTCTTAAATAAGATAATTGAACACAGCGCGTGCAGCTTGTTCGTCAAAAAATTTGTATTGCTAGGACCGTATTGGACACCACATGTGCAATGCAAAGTGAAATAAAAGTACAACAGTGAAATTGATAAACGTTTCCAGTCTTGAATTATCGCTCGAAAGCAGCGGTAAGCAATCAACTTCAAGATCACACCAGTTAAAAAAAAGAAATCGTTTAATATATGATAAGACAATAAATATCACGTTCGATTCTTATTCCCATAGAACAATCTCCCTAAAATGATTACTTTTTTCGCCTTTAAATCTTGACTTTTCCTTAAGTTCATTTAAACTTTGCTTCTGGTTTTAATATGGAAGTGTCGCATAAATTTTTTTCCCGCCACGCTATGTATGACCTCGAGCTGGCTATGTCTGCAAACATGCAGACTTATCTATTGCTCGTTTATGGGCTCGATTTCAGTCGTCGCACAGCCCTTTCAAAGTACGTCACGTTGATGATAAAGTCTCTTTTCAAATCTGTTTCTACGCTGTTCAATATGGATAGCCAAAAGACGCATTTGCGGTATGTTATGCTTCATTGCTTTGAAAAAGGTAGTGGTCCAAGGTACACCGCAGACGAGCCCTATTACGACTTACGGCTGGCAAGTTTGACTTGACGGCCGCTCAGCAACAACAGATACGGACCTCGTCAAGAGTATGCTCACTACAAATCCGCGAGATAGTGGATGTTATTAATACGGCCAGCACAACGGTACATAATCATTTAAACGAGATGACATATGTCATCTATTAATTTCGCGTCAAAAGAAAAGGAAGAAACTTCTGGCACTTCTTCTTAATATTTCCAAAGCTTAGAATATCCACTGATGAATGCACAACTTTGAGTGAAGTTTAGAATGCTTCCAAATGATCGAACAGTTGAGACAAATTTATTTCTCAATTGCATTCAATCGCATCGAGCTAAAGTGTGAAATTTGAAACCGTTTTATTTGGGCACACATATAACACAGAAAAGTTGATTGTATTGATATACTTGCTGACATGCAATGTTTTTCATTGTAAAGTAATAGAGACAAGAGACAATCTGTTCTATTGTTGCAGACAGCCTGCGATACTGCGATACACTTAAATTTGAGTTAATTACAAATGCATAAATAACTACGCGAACACTTACTTACTGAAATAGTGCTTGCTTTAGCGTTGGGGGGAAAACGATTATTTATCCTCCTCTCTCATCCCTCGCGTTAGCTACGTTTATCTTCTGAAATGTTTACTACGTTAACGAGGTTAATCTGTGGTTGCACACGTTACAAGAACTAAGTTATGTGTCTGTATAAGCGTACGCAAGCAATATCCACATGTGCCTTCACGTTTAGCCAGCCAGCAGCCGTAGACTCTTTACTTTGTAACTTAACGGTTACATTAACTAACATTTTATTTAGTTAATATGTTATAAGTGTGTATGTTTGTTTTTTTTTTGTTTTTTTTTTGTTTTTTTTACTAAATTAAAGAAAGATAAAAAGAAGTAAACGAATAAATAAAAACTAAACTCTTTTCTTTACTTTACGGTGCGTCGACAACGCTAGTTAGTTGCGTAAATCTCTTGACACTTGAAAAAATTTGTAAATATTTTTTTACTTTATTTTCTTGTAATTTTTCCTTTTTCCGTTTTTCCTCTCTTTTTCGTTTTTGTATTCGTTTTAGTGGATAAAATGCATAAACACTTGCGCAAATTGAAGACATTAATATTGAATCGCGCCAATAACAATTGGGAACAATATGGCGAAGAGCATTCACGTGAAAATCTCGTTCTGCAAGCGTTACAAACTCTCTTAAGAATTGCCGAGCTCTCGAATACAGAAAACGAACCGGCTGCGGTAATTAACCCCAGCATTGTAACCACGGTTACAGATGAAGTCAACAATTTGAGGGATGTGCCAACGCCGTCGTGCAGTAGATCGATAAAATGCCCCCGTTTAAAAGAACCAAATGCTGTATCATATAATTATCATCAATTGCCTATAGGATTGCCGAGTAAAAATTCCTGCCTTACCCCCTCAACTCCCCCACAGAGACCCTTGTCAGGGAAAAGTGATGATAACGATTACTTTTCGACCCGCGCATCCCTAATCTGCGCTGACAGCGAACTTGAATTGAGCGAGAATGAACCGGACGATTTCTATTTAACAGCCGACGAGGGTTACGATGCTGATGCCGAAATACCCGAAGTCTCAGAAACAGAAGGTGGCGTTTCAGATGGCGGCGCCGGGGGTGGAGGTGGTGCTGGTGGAGGTGGAGGTGGAGGAGGGACAGGAGGAGGCACAACCGACCTCTGGCATCCCTTTCAACCATCCTCTCGTTATCGTACTCACATGTTACACGAAGGCATTTGCTGTCTGGTCATAGATATCCTAATAGAGCTGAGTGAAAAATGTTGCCTTAACCCTACCGGCTGGTGTGAAAATCTGGCTCAATTGATGAACCGTTTATTTGTCATACGCGATTATTTGGGCGGTCCGCTAGTAATGCTAAAAGGTTTCGGCCCTATACTTCAATGTAATGATGCGCGCTTACGTGAATTGCAACAAAGCATACTGGAATTAGTAGTGGATCTGAATACTCCGGATGTTTTGCAAATATTTTTCAGCATCTTAGCTTCCAAAAATCCGCCTATTGACATATTGATTAACTATATGAACTATATATGTGCGAATACGTTAAAGAGAGCGCATCCCAGCGTCGAATTAGAATTTCCCGTTAATATCGGTAAGTATAATAAAATGGATTGGAAAAAGTTCTTCTAGTGCATCTATCTCTAAACGGTACAGTGTTCACTGTATTAGTGATGCCGCTTTCGATGAGCAAGAATATGGACAAAGCCCAAACACGAATATAACATTTTGCGATCATAAATAAACGAAACATCATTTCATTACATCTTAATGGCAAAGATGTGAAAAATTCTGGTAAAATTGTCGCACAAAAAATTTGCTTTTTATGACTATTAGTTATTAATAATTAGATCTAAAGAATGACCTCTCGACGAATGAGACTCGCATCTACGGGAATACAATGCACTCTAATAGGTTAATTTCCAACCTGAATATCGTGGTGCAATTGAAAGTCCTAATGAAGGGGTATAGTAAGCCTTCATGCGCCTCGAATAACGATTATAAGGTTTGCTTGCAGAGAAGATACGGACTTAATCTCCATTTAATTGCTAAATAAAAATTATGCGCAATAGCTCTATATGCGAACAGATAGGCATAAGAAAAAAATTAAACACAGAATACTATCGAAAACCCTCTCAACCCTTTACTTTCAATTATGTTATAAAAATTCAATATCATCTATACGACATTTTTAGTACATTTTTCTTTTGAACGCACCGTCCTTTCGATTTTACCTATAGGAACCGGTGAGCTTAGAAGAAATCACCTTTCTAATCTTAAAATCTTAATATTCTCACTATAAAGTGTAAACATACATTGGATGTGTGTATGTATATATTTGATGGTAAGGTAGAAAGAAGACCGATTAGCTTCAATGTACGGGAGACTATATGGGACAATATTTACTCTTACCTTTGTAACGCTTAAAAAGCACGCATGAACGAACGATCCCAAAAGTCATAAATATTTTTGATTGAGCGTCAAACTCCAAGCGGATTTAGTCGCATTTGTGTTGTCCGATCGTGATCGGCAATGATCAAGTTTGACAATGTGAACAAAGTGAAAATTCTGTAGCCAAAGTGCGATTTTCGAAAGATGGACAAATAGGTAGACGGGATGAAATCGACTTCGCTATTTAACAATGTGTACAATCTGTGGCGCGTCAAGTGCTTCTTTCTTTTCGTTTATGAAAAACCCACGTAGTAGTGGATATAAAAAAAATCATTTGTAAAATCATCTTATCTTCTTATCCTCATCTCTTATTTGATTGTTATTATTATTTGCTTTTCATCTGTTTTATGTATTATGTAACGAAACTACACCTGCACTCGTCATTTTACTTCTGCAAATTCTATATATTAAAATTTAATAGAAATAGCTAAATACACGTCGACCGGTGATTTGGGTCGAGTCGAGCAAATCGAACGTCTACGTCGATATCATTTACAATGCCAAGCGAACACGCCCTTTACTCGATCGCCGTACATTATACCGATAACGCATGCGCGCTTATGGAATCCCGAAGGGTTTACCATATCGCTCTGGCTAAATGTGAAAGGAAGCCAAAATGCGAAGAGCTCGTGTCAAACAGTGGACGATGACACGCGTAGTTCAAGTGATGTTTACATGGTGATGTCAATGAACTTATTTTATTATAATAATCGAAATGAAAATATAATTTAATGCTTTTACAATTATAGAGGACTCACATTTTATCAATGGGAACTAATCAGGTGATGTTAAGTATTTATCTAAATAATAGCATGCATTTGGTATTTGAAACGAGTAAACCGAATGCCGAATTGATAATGGCAAATAAAACGCAAACGGAAGAATCTCCCCAAGAATCCAATTATCAAAAAGTGAGCTCGGGCACACTGAACGGTGGTGATAACAGCGCCAGCTCTATAAAAAGCATTAATAAAAATCAAACGGCGAATGTCAATACGTTCATTATTGCTTCGCCAACTTCCAGTTCCCCTTTAACTAAGGCCTTCAAGCAAACTAAATTGGTTCTCCTAAACAGCTTTAGCAATATGCATTTGTTCAATGGCCACTCCGAGAGTGAAACCTTTTTCGAAAGTAGTCATTTCGATCTAAAACATTATCGCGTTAGCAAAAATAAATGGATTCATTTGACAGTTGCCGTGCAAATGCATAACGACTCTTTGGACTTGATTGTTTACGTTGACGGCCTGGAGCATCATTTAATTACTTTACCCTTCCGCAATTTACGTTTACTCACGCGAAATCATACCTTTCAAATTGTATCTTTGGGTGATGGCTGCGTGAATAAAACTAACAACAACACCGCCAACTCAAGCGAATCCCACTCTACATTGGAGTTGAACAATCCCATGCGCTTCAGTATATCGAACCTAATGTTGTTTAAACGTTGCATTTCCACCAAGGAAGCCATAATAAACTTAACAGCAATGGGTCCTGACTTTACAGAGCTGACGCAATGTCATGTCGCCAACTTGAAACCGAACTATGGTTATTTAAATTTAAGTAAAATGCAAAAGCCTAACTATGGCAATTTTATGGAGGCAATGAAAATTCTAAGAGAGAATCGCATTTTGCATTATACGGCACAGCAACCGGACATTATAATGGGTTACGACAGCAATATGGAACTGGATAATACAACGTACGGTAAGTGTTTACATTCCATTTCCAGGCATTTCCATTTAAAATTAACTTGTAAATTCTTTGGCACACAGGTCGTCCTTACGGCTTATTACTGTATGGAGAAATCTTACAAAATCATTTACCTTCATTACAAACAGCTGTAATTTTATGTGGAGGTTTATCTAATCTCCTGTATATGTTTGCTCGTGTAGGGATTTGATCTTTAAAATCTTATATCTTATAATGATTTTCTCTTCATTATTTCAGGTGGTTGAGAAAGCCTCGAATTCTTCGACACAAGCAATGGCCTTAGATCTATTGCTCAATGTCGCCTTCTCGGAATCTCAACTTTACACGGAATTTCAACGCAATGACTACATCAGTCTTATTGGATATGTTATTAAAACAGAACGTTGCTCTAAAGATTGCCAGCTATTGAAGGGTATCATCAATAATGCCTGTTCTCAGCCATTAATCAGCAAAAAGGGCGATCATCTTATTGTTAATGAGACAACTATAGCGACGGTAGTCTACCCACGACTTTTGGTTGCTCAATTGCATCGCTATTCTGATTGGCATCGCTCGGGTTCAGAAAATTCAGACGTTCTGGACATGCTATTAATAGCAATATTGGCTTTGACACGTGAAAAGCATCCACAACGTGATTTTAATATCGAACAATTTCAGATCGCTGGCTTAATGAAGGAATTATTGAATCTTTGCAAGGTGTACGTTATAGAGTCACCGAATCCTGTGTTTATATCGAAAAGAGCGGCCGACTCATTTGTCAGCATTATATCAGTATTTGCCGGCTCGCCACCACCTCCCTCTTTACTCGATGAAATAATGAAGCTGTTATTGTTGTTGCACAAACCGAGTGAATGTTACATAACGCATGATCGCTCCAAATTTTATTTTCTGCTGACGGGAGAAGTGCCCACCAAAGAGAAATCTTCCTTAGTTCAAGCGACGCATTTCGGTAGAGTAGCGGCTCCTTTTAAACGCGGCGTAGTTAAACGATCACATCCGGGTGTAGCAAAGTTGAGCGTTGATACCACGACTACAACTCATGTTACTCATGCTTCCAATACACCACCTATGGATAAGGCGCGAAGAGCTCGCCTAGAGCGTTTGCGTAAATTACATAAAAGCAACTCTTCTTATAAGAAAGCTTTGCATGATTTCGAAGAGAATTTGGAGAATGTGGCTGACTGTTCAAAGCTCAATAAAAACGCTTTGCAATTACTCAGTCCCGAAGAGGTGGCGAAATGGCGGGAGAAATTTAAACGTTGTACTAGTATGACTCTGATCGCAAGTCCTATGAAGGAAAGGGGTGGAAGAGGATCTAAAACTTTTCGCATGTCATCATCGTCTACGTCATTTTTAAAGCATTCGCCGCTATCGCAAAGGATACAACGCAAACGCTTACGCCTAAGCTCGGGAAGTTCCGCTCGCTCTTTAATTTCGGCAGGAAAAGAAAAGTATTTTCGAACAAATTCTCGTAAATCAGAAAGCAGCTTATACTCATTGACAACCACCACAAACACCTCGAATTTAGACTATAGTGAGAATATAATGACAGCTTATAGCGACGGCAGTTCATGCTCCAAAACTAGTTCGCAGCCACGTCGAGTGCGACTTCTAACAAAAACTGATTCTTATAATTCGACGGGTATAGCGGCGTTGCAAAGTGGTCTGTTGCTGTTATTAAAAGATTTTCTCTGCTTACTGCCTGATAATTCTATAGATGATGTAAGTTTGGCCTATCTAATGAAAATTGACTGAAAATTTATTTCCAGTTTTTTAAAGGTCTTGCATCATTACATCAAAGTGGAATTCTTGCTCGTTTTGGCGAATCATAGCAGCACCTCTGTACGGAGTGCCATCTTAAAGCTGATGGGCGCTTTAGTTCAGCGTTTACCTTCACAAGATCTGCAATTATGTTTCAAAAATTTATATTGCCATCATTTAGCTAACCAATTAACCATATATCCTATCGATATGGGCAATTTTGAAACTTGTTTAGAATGGGTTACCGGTCAACTTTGCAATTTGCAATCGTTTCTAATCTGTGATACACGGCTGCATATAGAGCAGCGATTCGCCTTAAATGCGTTATTAGCCATAACTTCAAAAGCTACAATGGCGATTAACAGCTCTGCTGATTTTAATGACAAGTGCTTTATAATACTGCGAAATCTTTACGCAATGGTAAGTGATGGAAAGCAAAGGCAGTTATACTCGTACGTAGAAATTATAACAAGTGAACAAAGAGGTTTTTTTTGTTTTCAGAATGGGCGGGTCAATTCATTGATTAGAACCTTAGTGCACTAATCTTTCTTGGATAGCTCAAGTTTTAATTCAATATATTTCCTGGATCGTAAGTTGCGAACATGGCTACACGTCATGTAACATCACTTGTCAAACTTAATCGCTTCAACGACAAAGAAAATATGCGTCAAATTTCAATTTTCTAGTTTCACTTTAGATCCTCAAATATGTGCATAGACGTATATATGTGTATATGATACGTATTTCTGGTTATTGTAAATAAAAGTTGTCCCCATTCCTCAATCTAATTTGAAACGATATATATTAGAATTTGTAAAACTTTCTATCAGATTTGCTCAGTAAAGGTAAAAATGTAGAAATTTACGCAATGCCTCTCGAAATATGATAACTGGTTGGTTAAAAAAAAAAAAAAAAACCTATCATTTAAATTGATTATACTAAAAGAAATTGAAAGCCTCTGTTGACACAAACTCTCTCTCTCTCTCAACTCTTCCTTAAGAACGTTGAAGAACAAAGCAATATGGTTGAAGCTGGCCTAATACAGTGTGCTGTCAAGGCTCTACATTATTTGTATGCTAAGAATAATACAAATAATCAAAAGACTGAAGATTCAATAGCGAATTTATTAACAACTATTGGAGAATTCTCATTGAAGTCGGCGGGGCATATAAATGTAAGTAGAAATTCCTTTAAGAACTCATTAGTGCCCTTAATTTTATGACGCACTTCACGCGCAGATCTTATGGGATATTATAAATATGCTAGCATTCTATCAAGAAAAGCAAATCGTATCCGTAATGAATGGTTTCCGCGCAATCCAAGCCAAACTTCAACTCAATTGGATCCATATGTTCTTTGCTAAAACGGACGTATCTTGGAATTATAAAGGTTTGTTACAGTGCGTTCGAAAAATTTCATAATTCACTTTGCATACTTTTCTCTTCTCCTCCCTTCAGTTATTCAATTAACAAATTGCTCTCTGTCCACATCAGAGACGAAAACTCGTTTTGAGTTACTTATAAATCGGAGCGCTCAGTTCTTCACGGTATCAAATGAAAGATCTTCTCCCAGTCCCCATGAAATTGAACTATTTGAATTATTAGTATCGTACAGTATTGCCACCAATCAACGTTGCAATAATTTTATCGCGTGGGGTTTGCAACCGTCACAACCAAGAGATCTTCGTTGTTTCATAATCGACGCATTATGGATTTCTTGTCAAGATGACTTTTTACCGACCATAATATGTGACGGTAAAATGATCAAGGCTTTGCTATGGCTAAGCCTGTTAGAAGATTTAGAGACACCAATTCAGAATTTGGCACCACTGTGCCGGCGATTAGGCATCAATGAGAACGATTCAACATGGAATTTAGAAAACGAAATACAACGCTTGGAATTGCAAAACTGTGCGGACACAGCTAAGCAGAAAGCAGCTTTGGAAAAAACTGTCTTCAAATTTGAAAACTTGGCGCAAAATTGTATTGAATCTTCAATGCTTACCACCAGAAGGGTAGCGGAACTACAAGTTAGCATGGACTTATATTCATTCTTCTTTTAAATCTAATAACAAAAAAAAAAAAAAAATGCTTTCCTTAGAATTCCGAACGTAAACTCCTAATGAATTACATGAAAGACTATGATGACACTCATACATATACTAAATGGTTAGACATAGTGCGCAGAATGACACACGAGGGAGCACCCTGGTATAATTCCTACAGTGCGGAGAAGTGAGTTGCCCTCTAAATTAAATTCTCCGATTATGGCAGCGAGCTTTAAAAAGAGGAGAATAAAATGACACTGAGGTACTGTCAAAATCTTAATAATAATCTTGGTTATTTTCAGCTCTTGGGAATTGGATGACACTGAAGGTCCGTCCCGGGTTCACACGCGTTTACGGCGCTGCCATTTAGATTTGGATAAACGCTTCTTCATGAGCAGTTATCATGAGCCGAATAGTACGGACAGTTCAACGACACCTTCCCATTATACCCGACCTTTGGACTATCTCATAGCCAGTTACGATCAACAATTAAACATATCATTAAATTCTCAAATCCTATACAATTTTCCCGCCAAATATTTACCGGTCGATGGTGAAATTGATGGAGAGATTATCGTAACCGATCATAAGTTATACTTTTTGGCTACATATCGTTGTAAATATTTTTATGTAAACTGTGATATAGCCAATATAACGGAAATCTGGTTGAAACGCCATCAGCATCAGGAAAAGGCATTCGAAATTTTCTTAGACACCAATCAGTCCCTATTTTTCTCATTGCAAAATTGTGAAGATTGGAAAATAATGCGTGATGTTTTCTGTGATAAAATTGTCGTTCCGCCCGATCAAAGTAAACTATTGCTTATAACTCAGCAGTGGCGTGAAGGCCTCTTGACCAATTGGGAATATTTGATGTCTCTTAATCAAATCTCCGGACGTACTTACAATGATCTCATGCAATATCCGATATTTCCTTGGATACTCTCCAATTATACCGGTGATGTTTTAAATTTAAATGATGCCACGAATTTTCGTAAACTACCGAAACCCATCGCTGTGCAAAATGAGGAAAATGAACAACATTACATCAACAATTATACGGTAATCTATACTAAAAGTAATTATCCTTTTCATTTCTTACCCCCCCCTCCCCACCTAACATTATCTTCTTGCAGTATATTAAAAACACGATGACCAATATGGGCTCGATCATATTAAAGCCTTACCATTACAGTTCACATTACTCGAATTCTGGAACGGTATTACATTTTTTGGTACGTGTTCCACCGTTTACTAGTTACTTTCTACGTTACCAAGGTAGGTAATGGCCTATTGTCTATTTCTATCAAATTTTTAACAAATACTAGCACACAGATAACAATTTCGATATACCTGATCGCACTTTTCATGCGCTGAGCACCACGTGGTCTTTGGCTAGCCGGGATAGCCCTACTGATGTTAAAGAATTAATACCTGAGTTCTTTTGTTTACCCGAAATGTTTGAAAACTTTGAACGCTTCGATTTCGGCTGTCGTCAAAATGGTGAACGCGTTGAGAACGTCTCCCTACCACCTTGGAGCTTGAAGGACTCTCGTTTGTTTGTTTTAATTCATCGCCAAGCCTTAGAGTCGGAGTTGGTGCGCAACAATTTGCATCATTGGATCGATTTAATCTTCGGATATAAACAGACTGGAGAAGCTGCTATTGAAGCCATTAACGTTTTTCATCCGGCTGTAAGTTAAGTTGATTTCAAAGAATAAATATTTTAAAGAGTCACACTTAAGCATTCTCTAGCGAACTATGAGTGAACACAGTAAACTTGGAATCTATAATGTAACTATATTTAGATTTGCGTTCATGCAGAAAATCTCATAAAAAGAAAAAACTGCAACTTTCTTCCGGAACACAAAGCTGCTCCCTGTGCATTGTTTTATATGCAAACAAAAATGCGATCAAGACTTCCGCTTTGTCGTCCCCTTTTTATTTAAGTGCAGCACAAATATAACATATTGGCTTAAATTAAAAAAGCCCCCTGCCCAAAGATGAGGTGAAATGAAAAAAAGTGAAAATTGTCTCCAGCATCTCTAAGTATTATTATTTTTTAGAGATAAAAAGGCAAATAATAAATTGTGAGTGCCTTCGGGAATCGCATCTTCAGAGACGAAGACTCGCATTTATCGTTTTCTAACCCACGGCTAACGACTGTATTTACAAAAAACTTTTAAGCAAACGAATAATGTTTATATCCCCGCACTGAAGGATGCGGGTATATTCATTTTTTTTTTTTTTTTTTTTTTTTTCATAATGTATGTAGCGTCCAAAAGAAAGCTTCAGGATATATAGTCTCTTGATCAGCGTGAAATTCCGAATTGATTAAGCCATGCCTGTCCGTCTCTGTGTCTGTGTGATGTTTGTTATTGGCATTCTTGTCGTCGCAAAAATGAAAATGTCGACTTCAAATTTGATAGAGACATTGGAAGTTTTTGCACGTCAATTGTTGTTAAGAATGGGCCAAATTGTTCAGGACATAAGCTCGCAGTTTAGCACAAGCTATACGCAACGCCGCTTTTCTTAACAATCATTTGTAGGTTTTGTCTCGTTGCTCAAAATTTATAAGATTTAGAACGCTGAACTTTTCCACATTGACTTTGCGAAGCACTCAACTCTTTATGTGTAAAAATGCAAAAAAATCGGCTATGCCTACACAAAATTACAAGTGAATAAACAATTATTTTTTCACACCTTTTTGAGTGTTTATGCTTATTAATCATAAGGTAAACAAAACAGAATATTTAAAACTACTTTGTCCATTCCTAACGGAGGGTAGAGTGAAAACTCGCTTAAAAAAATTTTGAAATTTCTGCTAAAATAGATACTTTGTAACTATTCTTATTGCAGACATATGCTGTGTTCTTGGAATCTGAGATAAACGATCCCATAGAACGTGAAGCCGTAGAAACTATGGTGAAGACCTACGGCCAAATGCCGCGACAACTATTTAAAACATCTCACCCGCCTTCGAAATCTTTAACCTATCAATTTACCGTTGATAAGCCGATTCTATCAAGTGTCCGCGGCTTGCGTTGGGGAGTTTATGTGGGCTCACCTCAACTCTCGAAACCATTTCTTGGCAATATACATAAACTACCAGGCGCCGAGTACTTGTTATCATTTAATAATACTAACGTAGTATATGGCCTACCTTCGCGTTCTTGCGTTATGCAAGGTGCCGAAAGTGATACTTTCAACGTCATTTCTTGGGGTTATGATGATCGCATTGTTCGCATACAACCTTTGAATAAAATTTTTTCCAAACCTAAAAATCTCTTATATAATAGTGCTTTTGATGATATTACGGCTTGCGGTTGTGATTGTAACTCGAATCAATTATGGTTCGGCCATAAATCCGGACGTTTAAGTATCTACAAGTGCACCAGCGTTGAAGCCAATGCGAAATTGGGTAAAAGTCGTCAAAGTTATGTTCGTGGCCTGAGACTATCGTATAATTCAGCGTTTCGTAAAATAACGAGCAAATCCAACGAAATGGAGGGAAGCGAAATAAATAGTGCCAATATGATGATATCAGCGGCGACAATGTCACCTCATGATTCACCTTTGCAAAAGGATGGAGCTGACTTGCAATGGTCTGGGCCAACAGTATTAGTGCGGCACACTGACGAGATCACCTGCATAGCTCTTTCGGTCGAGTTTAAAATCGTAGTAACAGCGGGTAAAGACGGCATAGCAGTAATCTGGGATTTAAATAAGTGAGTATTAGGAAAGTAATTAAAATGATGCATTTATCTAACTTCTCCTTAATGTTTAGTTTGAGTTATGTACGAACTATAGAACGTCCTGCGGAGATTCATCACTCCCCCATAACACTGCTGTGCACAAGTCCTACCTTGGGTGATATAGTTACCGTTCATACCCTGACATCATTAAACTCGCCTACCATTCCAAAAAGCGCAACAATGGACAATTGTCCGGAACGCGTCAATTCGCCTTCATTAGCTGACGAATGTTTTGAAGTGACCGAAGAAAATCTTGATGATTTCGTTAATGTTTCAGTCAATCCGAATGGTAAATCGATTTTGCGTTTACACTCAGCCAATGCGCGGTACGTGCAGCATATTGTGCATGAGGATCTAATATTGGCCGCGTGTTATTCATTCGTCAAGGAAGGCGTTGGCGTGAATGTCATTGCCACTGCCATCGAGGGTGGCATCATACGCTTATGGTCTAGTTGGAATTTGAATTTTATTACCGAAATTATAACAGGCATGGCGAATATAAGTAGGTAAGTCATTAAGAATGAGAGTGAATGCCTGAAGCTAAAAAATCAAAAATCAATATTAATAGATCAAGTAGTATTTTTGCAAATAGCTCGGAATTAACAAAAAATCAGAAATATCAGGGATAAAACTAAAGGACTTTGGCTACTCAATGCCAAAAGACTTAAACCGACTTAAATATAGTCGCCGAGTTATTTTCAAATATAACGACCCGCGACACATATATACACACATGGCCATTCAATATGTGAAAACCTGAAATGCCCATTAAAACGGTTAATAAGCACGTATAAAGCTCTTGAGCGTACATTTTATACGCTGAAAAAAAATTTCCAAAAAATATTTTTAAAATTTTACACAAAAAAATTAGCAGATTTATATGAAAAGAGTTCACGCAAATATAGCCCATTCATGGGATAGTAAACGACTTGAAGAAATGAAATGCTTTAAGAAATTGAAGCAATAAACAAGCATCCGCGTCTATGGCGACCGCCAGATCATCTAGTGACTTAGTAGACCACAGAAATCACTAATTAACATCTATCGTCTACTCAATTTACTTTTACGGAACGAAAGATGTGGAGTTAGCTTTTGCGCGCATTCAAAATATTAATATTTCCTTTATTTAAGCAATTATTTATTTTACGCATATTTTTTTAGAAAGTGCTAATACTTTTAATAAAAGACACACAAGAAAATTTCATTCGACTGTGACCGAATATTTCATATCCACCAACTTTGTCCTAGAAAAAGTAAAAAAAAACTATGTTTCGATACTCTCTAGTACTAGATGTACGAAACACAGGAATCGCCCATAGAATACACATGCACAATCATATAAAATCTTATGGTTGTATCTATTCCAGTTTATGATTAGAAAAAATGAAGAAAGCAGTTATGTTACACGTTAGGAGTTTCCCACAACCGTTGAGTCCTATTTGTGATTCCAAACTGGCTGCAACAACTCGTAATATGTTTCCCAAATTTAAGCTGACGTATACATACGGGCGGACTTGCAGGCATATCTAGATTAATGCGGAATGTCTGATTCCGAACATATATATACTTAAGGGGATCTATGAAGCCTCCTTTTCGGCGTTGAAAACATTTTGATATAACGAAAAGTATAGAAAGGAGCGAAACAGGATATTTGGGAGAAGGATTTCGCTTGTTGGCTAACAAACATACACTATATGCAGGGTACACGATACGATATATGAGCAATAAGCAAAAATTTATGACCAAACTTAGAATTAATTAAAAATTATTAAAAAACAACTTTCGAGCTCACGTAGGAAAAAGAAAAATAATTGACTTTTAACTGACTCTAATTAGAAAAAAGTGAAGACCAATTTCTTATTTGTGACCATTTCTATATACTAGAAATATTTAACGAGTCCAACATATCCTACTGGCGTGCAATGTTTTTATTATTTACTTTAAACGCGTGTCCAATACCGAATACTAAGTTTAAATGTATTTCTAAACTGTCCTTTTTTACGCATTGCTCTGCGTCTTTTTTCTTACTTTCCTTTCTAGCATCATCTATTCAACACATCAACATCTGGTGGTCTTGACAAAAGAATCCCATATACAAGTTTGGGAAACGGATGGATTATGTGGGAATTCACCGAAATTTCCGCAAATTGCTTACAAATAAAAATGTTCATATACAACCTCGTCAACTATTCATTCACGCCCACAATAAATCCAGGAATTAATTATAAAACTTTCAGCTATTTGTACGTTTAAAAAAATGAATATTTTTTGATAATTATTGTATTATTTTATGTTATGAAAATTGAATGAAAGAAGAACAAAACACGTTCAAAAATATGTATAAAAAAGAAAATATTAAGCAATAAAAATCATTTATTTATAAACCTTATATATAAAAAAAAAAAAAAAATCGTATTTAAAACCTTATAAAACCATTACAGCTAATGAATTAAAAAACATTTCTTATCAAACTTAAACTTAAGGGCACTTTAAATACAAGACTTTAATTATTGTTATAATAAATATAATAATACTTCTCTTTCCCATTATGCTTTCCATGGCGGCTTGTTATGACAATGGCGTTTAGCATTCTTCTCCATTTTCTCTTTAGCTTGTTTGGCTTTTGTTGTTAAAGCCAGAATTTCGTCCAGTTTGTCAAAGTCACTCGGTGATTTGCTAAGAAGCTGCAATAAAAAAAAAGTATTTAAATCGTTATTGCGAAAAAAAAAAAAAATTGAATTTTAAAATTTCAACCAATTCAATATAAGCTTGCAATCTGTCCATGGGCGATAATGTGGGCGCTTTGTTATTTTGTACATTTAAATTATTCTCTTTTCTACTTGATTTCGGTGTACATTCATTGTAAGCATGATTCACTGGCCTATTTGTATCATTGCTCTCTGGAGAATCTGTATCCGATTCAGACATTTTCGACTGAGTTGGCGATGTTAATATTTCTAAAGCCTTTTGCCACTGCGTTTCCATAACGTTGTGCAGCTTCTCAGCAATGTCAGCTCTTTTTGATTTGTACAAATTCAATTTCATTTCGAGTTCGTCGATTTTTTTTGAAGCGTTAGCCAACTGTATACGATACAATTCAACTTCTTCATGATGTTTTTCTTGCAATAAATTCAACTCCTGTTCATTTTTTTCATTAATTAATTCCAATTGCTTAACTGCGCGCTCGGCTATTAAACGTTCACGTTCTTTGGCCTCGGCTTTTAAACTATCTTCGGTTTTATCTAATTGCTCTTGAAACTCTCTCAATTTCTGTGTCACAACAGTTTCTAATTGTTGTTGGTAATGTGACTTTAATGTTTTCTGCTGTAAATCCATTTTACGCTTAAGTGAAGCCTTAAATAAAAGCATTAATAAATCTTATGATCCGACAAACATGTATTTTTTTTTAAATTTTTTTACTTCCGCTTCAGTTAAACGATTAACTGCATCTTGTAATGATTTCTTTTGATTTTCGAACAGGTCAGCTCGTGACTTTTGTTTTTGTTGTACATCTTGCAATACTTCCTTCTGATGCCGTAACGTGGAGATTTCTCTTTCCAATTCATCATAACGCAGTTTTGTCTAAGAAAAGAGAAAACTATAATCGACCGACTGAATTGTCAAAAATTTGGTATAAACGTACTTTTTCATATAAATGTTCGGACTTGGCATACTTATCCTTTATTTTATGCAATTCGTTAATCGCTAGCTCTTCGGAACGTTGACAAGCATGGATTTTGATTTCCAACTCCTCAATTTGCTGTTTGAACTGGACATGAGATTCATTCGTTTTTCTGCCAATTACATTACATTACGTATATATATTTCAAGTAATCTTTCCTAACAACAACTTTCATACCTAGAACAATTCGTCAATTCATTTTCTAGTTTTTCAGTTTTTTCTTGAAATTTTGTGGCCAAACTCACTGCTTGTGCCAGCTCTTTCTGTAAACCGTCCATTTTCTCTTCGTGCTGCTTACGCTGTAGCTCCGCAATTTGCAAATTCTGTCGCATTTGTTGAAGATCTTGCGTTAAACTGAAGAGTAAAAAATTTAATGTTTTTCAATTTCAAGGAAATCAGTGCAAGCTCACTTTTGGTTTCCCCTTTGCGCGTCGTTTAAAGCGCTATCCTTGGCTCGATCAACTTCTACAGCTACTGACAACCGTTGTTGATATTCTAGTATACTTGCCTGTAATTGTCGAACCATCTTCTCTAAATGTTGTCGCCTTAACTGTTCTTCTTTTAGAGACTGTTGGGCAGGTATAGCTATTGCAGTGGCTTGACCATTTTTACCCCAAATTTCACTTAAACTAATTAAATTATCGTTCATTTTGGACATTTGAGAACAATTAAAGTTCTGTACCCTTTCGTGGATTACGGCAGAAGGCAAAGATTTTGATTGATTTAGTAGGTGGTCCGTTTGTAGTGATTGCCTAAGGTCGTCATTTTGAGGTTTTAGTCCATTATACGGATTCTCCACATCTGCTCTTTCGCCCGAAAGGAACTTATCAATATCCATTAGAACCTCTTCTGCTGGATAATCTTTGTATACATTCGCATTATTATTTTGACTTTTAAAATCTTCCACAACGGAGCTATTACATTTTGGCGTAGAATGTATTATACCTACACCAGAGTCACGGTTCGCTTTGCTATGGCCGAATTGTGTAAGAACAGTACACGTTGATATACTTGATATATCCGAAGGATTTTCCAAATTACCTCCTCTTTCGTGCTCCATGTTATGCAAATGGGTATTGATATTGTTAAGCTCGGCTTTCCGATTGGTCGATAAGAATTGATAAGCAGCTGTTGTTGGTGGAGGTGCAGGTGGTGGCATAGCCAGACTGTCGAGATCGGTATTAGCCAGATCCATGGCCTGAAAATCTCTGGATAAATTCCTACGAAATCTGCACCTAAATTGACGCTCTAAAGCGTTCAGCTCCTGTAAACTGGTGTATTGTTTCGCCTTAGCTTCTTGCAATTCCTGTTGTGCTATTCTTTCTTCAGCAGTAGTTAAATAATAATTAGGCGGTATTAGCAATAAAATATCAGTATCATCGGAATCACTCATCCCCTTAAACACTTTACTGCATATTACTAACAGAAGTGAATATGTCTTAATGATTTCATTATATATTTTGAGCGAATGTTTTTAATATTTATATGTTATATTTGAAATCTCCAACAAAGCTGCACAACAAGATTCACGTTAGACAGGGCTGCCTGCATTTAATAATATGCTGCAAGTTGACGTATTACGCCGATAAATTAAAATAAGCACATCTGAAATATATTTCCAGAAACATCTCGATCTAACTGCATCCTATCTTATCGGAGCATGCATTTCCCATGCACATAGGAGAATCATCATATGTAAATTCGTAAATTTAACCAAATTCTCAACGAAAAGTTTAAATGTTTCATGTAATATTTTTTTGTTCATTGAGTGTTTTGAATGTAAAGGCTTTACCATCTCTGTTTTAACAATCTGCATTCAATCAAATTGCTTACACATTTATCGTCCGATATTACAAGAGAAGAAAATAATAAAAAGAAGAAATACTTTTTATGACGTATGAGCTCCAGCTCAGTCGACCGGGTTTGACCGGTGTTTGTCGCAAGACAGGTATCTGATCTCCATCTTTTTGAACAGCTTGTTTACATTGCCTTCAGGATTGCAACACACACATTTGAATTTGCCGACGATTTTATGTTAATCTCAGTAGGAAAATCTTTTGACGAAGCAGTTAATATTTTTTGTGCTAAAGCTAACCTCTTTTATGCAGCTTGCCCTGATCTAAATATCCAAGAAGCTAGTCGATTATTCCCTCAAGGGAATATTAGTGAACCAAATATCATCGCTTAAAGTTATTAATGCAAGTCTAACCTCCCAAGGACGTTACTTGAAAATTATCAAAGATTGTCTTATCTTTGCAATATATGTTATTGATGGTCCCGCTGGCGAAGGATTGTCCAGCTTCTCGGTGGTCAACCACTAGCGGGAACATTTAGCTAGGTAATTTCAAAGTTTTGGAACAGCTCTGTTCTACCTTTACCTATCAGAGAGACAGTTTTTTGGCCAAGTCAGGCGTCATTAAAAAGTTCGTAGTCAAACTGGCAAGGTCATCAATCAAGAGTAAAGATCAATACAAAATTAATTGTCGTTAATCCGCCCCATTGATCAATGTTACCCGGATATCGGATCACTACGCTTTTTATTTAAATGAGACAGCTGAAATGCGTACGGCAGAGTCAGTTACATATTCCATTTTTGGGTGCAGAAAATCTAATATCTTTAGACATCCTTTCAATATATTCAGTGTATGTATATTACGAGCTTTACGGAATCTTTGATGTTGGCAATATCGTTCATCTTAAGCAGCTGACGTCCTCTTTCGAAAATTTTGATTTTTCATTGCAATTCAACATTGGCTTGAATAAAATATTACTAATTGATTATTTTCTGACTTTTGTTGTATCAATCTTTTGGAAATTACCCCGGAAAGGACAGTACATTAGTGACGACCATTCCAGTTCTGTCTCCTAGTAAGTCAGTTCTTTCGTATATCATCATTGCCATCATTTATAAAACACAAGGGATCAAGAAACAAAAACAACTGGATATATTGGTCTCATCGTCCACAGGTCTAATCCATTAATAAAAATTAAATAAAAAAAGAAGAGTTTCGTAATTATTTTTTCGCCCATTTCGGTTAGTTCAATAAAATGACTGAAATATATTTCACCAAGTTATTAAAAAATAATACAACAAGTGTGGATACGAAGAACTTTATTTATATCAAAAGTAAATGGGATTATCAGCAGACAGAAATTTTACTCCAAGACTCTGAAACAGGTAAATGTTATCGCGGCATCGTAAGCAAACAAACGCTAAATGAAACCGCAAATGATTTAGAATTACCGAGTCAGGTGTATCAGGAAGAATGCCGACGACTTTTAACTGCCCAAATGCCTATAGCTGGCTATTCATATGAACTTGATGACGAGAATAAACAATTAAAAGTAAAAAAGGACCCTTTAAGTTACTTATATCTGGACATTGCTTTAAAAGATATTAAAAATCATTACGAAATTTTTGATGACGTTATTGAATTAATACAACAAAAAGAAAATTATACGATAGAACGAGCCAACAAAACGAAGGATAATGATACATTGAAGGTAGAGATACAAGATGATTTTCGGAGATTACTAGACGAAAAAAATCGCTTGGAAAAAAATTTATTAAAAAAAGCTGCTTTATTATTAAATACTAAAAAGCAAAAAATTACTGAATTGGAACAGCGTTTGAAGCAATACGAAAGACAAGCCGAAGAAACGATCGCGGATATAACGCACATAGAAGAAAGTGAAGACGATCTGCCCGGAACAAGTCATAACCTGCAGACAACGAAACATCAACCGCGAATTATTGAAAGTGACGAGAGTAGTGAGGAAGAAGGAAATGAAAATGTACGCAAGAATAATGGCAGTGATGACGACGCTTTTATGGCCGACACAGAACCCATCATATTTCCAGATTGATTCAAATTGTTCGCTAAAGTTAGTCGAAAAAAAGTCTTTGAATTCAACAGAAGTAGTTTCGCATAATTTACGCTAATTGTATTTGTGCGTGTGTGTGCACATAAGTCTTCAAATAAAAATATAGTTCGCGGTTTAGACATTAAAACAACAAAAAAGGTAGTACGTCTGGCTTACACAGTATGTAAAATCGAATTTATTCACTCTGCGGCTCAATTGGCATAATGACGAATCTTGTTTTATAACATTCATTGATGATAATTTGCGTTTTCGATATCTTTTTTGGGAAAAAAATCCGATGCTTTCCATGCTTTTAGGAATTTTATTACAAAATTTCAAAAGCACTTTTATTAGCTTTTATAACATCTGGCGAATGTTGTTGTTGTACTGTCCATACGTTTCCAAATTGACTTTTTATGCCCTTTGTGATACATATATAGGAAATATTAAGTTTGGTCGGATGTATACAACAACCAGACGAGCTTGAGATAGCCTTCCTTCTATTATAGCTATCGATTCAGATTTACTTGTAAAACCAATCTAAGTTTGTCTGTTCACACGGCTCGCGACTGTCAACCTACTGATCGTAATTTTTGAGATATTTTTACTCAGATTGGTAGAATGACGGATTTTCCTCTTCAAAGTAGTTCGTATCGAATCACTTTTGTTTCTTTTCCATAGTAATGCCTGATTTTGAAACGTCGTTATGAGAACAAATGTAGTTTTTGGAATTTCGCGAAAGAAATGACATTTCGGCATTTTAAATTGGCGCGAAAAATTTGGATCGGGCGGGGCGATTTTTTAGACAGTCTCTCATAGAACCATTCCTGCAACTGCTAAATTTTCATATGGGGAAAAGCTTTAATTTGTAATATTTCATGGTGAAAATTGGCCCATAATAGTAATTTAGCATAGGAATTAAGCTTACCGACTCTTCTTTTTTGGATTATATTCAACGTGGAATCGCTGTATAATATATTTTATAGACCCCCTATATATAAGGGCTCTCATGGACGAGTCTTTTTATGGCAGCAAAGTCTAATTTGTAGTTTTTTATGACACAATAAACTGAGGAATAATAAAATCTTTTACAAGTCAATTAAGGTTTCTAATTATGGACCTTGTTAGCTGACGTTAGGAGTATGTGCCAATACGATAGCTTTCCTGGAATTTACCTTTACAATAAAATAATGTACAACTTGTTGGTGAATTATCGCGATAATGAATGAATGAAGGCGAAATAGGTGAAGTGGCATAGGGTATCTTATGGTCGACCTTGCCCGGGCTATCAAGTTCCTGCTTGTTTTTATTGAACTGTTTGCCTGTGATAACCACATCAGATTTATCAAAACATTACAAATTGTTTATGTGGATTGGAAGGACATTCCAAAAATGCAAGATGTGCTGGACACAATTCCGTTTTTTTTGGGTTTTATTTTGTTAGCTTGTTACTCATAAACTACAAAAGATACAACGATAAAATTTTCCACGTATTTTGTTTGTATAATCCTAAAGTATTTGTACAAACATGGAAAAAGGCGGCCCCGCCTACTCAATATTGCAGATTAGCGAATTTTCTTTTTCATTTCGAGTTCTTTTGTGAAGATGAAGGTAGCAAGTATAAACGAAGTCGGTCACAGCCGAAAGCAGTTCTCTTCCTTTTTATCTATTTTGCCTTCGTATGTGTGTAATATATACAGGCAAACCTGTTTTTGTGCGGTAGATAGGGACCGCAGAAAAAAAATCGCACAAAAAAAAATATTCAAAAACTTCATAAATAGCTATAAGAAATAATTTTTCACAGCATATTAAAGAAAATTTTTTTTATGCGGTAGAGAGGGACCGCATAAAAAAAGTCTCACTTAGAAAATATGTCAAAGCTTTACGAAATAGCAAGAAAGTGCTTTCCAAACAAAATAAATAATTAAATTACACATTGACCCATTTAAAAAAATTTTAATTTCTAATTTTAAACAAGGAGAAATTTTCAAAATGTACATAATTCAATATGTATTACTCGTCGTAGTTCAAAACGCGCATATTTTTGCGATGAACTGGTTCGTAATCGCTTTCGTCACTTGAAGATACTACAGTTGATTTATTTTTTGTTAACATGTAGTCGGTGATAAGTTTTTGCGACGACGGTCGTTTGGTCAGCTGTTTGTAAACGTCGCGATAGCCAGATATACACAATCGAAGCTCTTTTTGGAATTTCAAACTTCTTTGAGAATTGTTATCTATTTTAAGAAAATGCTTTTCCGATTTGCTGCAAAGCTGGATCCCTGCATATATTTTATCCGCTGTAATAGATTCCGCTTCTTCTTGTCCGTCTTCATGATGCAATATATGCATAAGAACATTGAGCATGCCTAATGAAATAGGTTGATGCAATAGGTATGAAAATGTCTGTTGCAATGTGTACATACACACTGATAGCAAAAAAAGTGATGCCAACACAGTTCAGATTGACCTAACCTCTCGGCGAAATTCAATGTGTCGATATTCATATACCGCACAAAAAAAAAATCGCACAAAAAAAATCGCACAAAAAGAATCGCACAAAAAAAAAGCGCATAAAAAAAGACCGCAGAAAAACAGGTTTGACTGTATAAGGAATATTAATATTTTTATTATTACAAATTTAGCCAGGGAATAAATTCTAAGACTAAAGTCTTAAAGCATTAACATCTAAGCCTTTCGGCTTTATTAAAAATTCTATCGCACTTGAGATTTGAACCCATATATGGAATATATAAAGAATGCAGTCAAGTTAAGTTTGTAACTGTTATCATTTATTTACTATATTTATAAATATATACAAACAAAGGAAAAATTATTGAAAATTACAGAAAGGAAAAATTATAATAATAATAATAATAACAACAAAGCAATAAAACTTCTTAAAATTAAAATATGAAAAACATAACATTCGGCTCTAGCCAAATTATTTGATACCCATTACCAACATTATTATTATTACTATTTTATAATCATGCGCACTCTACCAACAAGTGATGTGTACAACTATCCCGATGCTCTCAAAACTGATTTCCTTAATTAAAAAAAAAAAAAAGAGCAATCTTGTTGATTCGAATAATCTGTTCTGTCTGACAAAAGAATTGCGTATTTTGAAAATTTTCAAGTTTAATTTTTCTTAGTTATATTCAAAATATAGTTCCCATGCACTTGTTTGGACAATCTTTGGAATTATATTCTAATTCTAATGAAGAGTTCATATATGTTTAATAAGAGCACATATGTCTCTTAGTAACACAAAGTGAAAGCACAATTTTTACCATTTATTGGATTTTGCACATTATCAGGTCCGTCGCTTACTATAGTATAGTATAGTATATTCATATTAAATTTCCGAAGAAGATTCGATGCCGTTATCAACGTTCATATATTGGAAAACTTTTCAAAACACTTGCATATATATGGGAGGTTTCAAATTGACGGAAAAAGGATTGCTGTACGCACCCCTGTCATGCTAAAGAAATAGACTTTGCTCAGATAGCAATTTGTAACTTGTTTGTTGACAAGCGATGAAAACAATTTGTAAATTCTGCAGATAGGCACTGAACCAAATTAGGTAATGTAACCTAACCTAACTTAGGTAACCTAAATCCGTAAAGCCAAAAAAAAATTTTTTCTTCATGGCATGGGAAAAAACTGTTCATCTTTATATTTAATAAAAAAAAAAATTATTATTACTGACCACCTGTCACTAGGTTAATCGATTAATCAATTAATCGTCAACCGTCTTTTACTTATTACTTAGAATCCCTGTATGATGACGGTCGGGATTCTTAAGCTATCATACGTTTCGATCGACTATTGATATACTTTCTCACAAAATTCGATCCCTGAAAGAAGGGAGGGGAAACCTTTTTGATTGGGAGGGCAACGACATATCTCTTGAACAATAGAGAGAACTGGTAGTGTTTTCTTTCAAGAATTCAAGAATTTCTTCTTTATTTCTCAATCTGTTAATCGGCGCCTATACGTATACGTCGGCCCCTGTAATAGAGAATTAATTGAAACATTATTACGTTGTTCTTCGTTTCAATAAATAGTTTATATTAAATAATCGTAATAGCCGTTTTTCGTTTCATGTTGTAAAATACATTTAAAAACAAAGTAAGTTTCGTGCACTTAATAATCTACATGTAATAATAATAGAAAGGAATTAAGGATTACTCTTCTTGGGTGAGGGGAAAAAAGAGATGGGAAAAGTGAGGTGAGAAACTAAAGAAATTGAGACATAAATTCATTTTTTTTTTAAAATAAATTTGCAGCAGTTTTTTTAAGCGTAAGACAAAAAAGTTTTTTTTTGCAAAATCCAAGATTTTATTCCTTTTGTTTTTTCCAAAATATACGATAAATACCATAGCAATACTTTTTTCGATTATCATTATAATGTATGTGTTTAGCTTTATATCATTTCCATCATATATATTAGTAATTATGTATATGAGCGTGTAAGGGGAAGTGAAAAGGTCATAGATCATAATATAATAATTAGTTGATGTAACCTCTCTTTTGTGTTTTAATTTCAGGCACTTTGTTTTCAATCGTACTGACGTCTATTCACATATATGTATGTATGTACGTATGTATCCAAAGTTCGAAGAATTGCTATATACCCCCTGTTGCTAGTTTCTACGACGCAAAAATAATAGGACTTTATATATCGAAAAATTACGTATGCTTATTCAACCATATGTGAATAACGATTAATTTCAATATTAAGACCAAACTTAAATTCGCACGAATAAGTAGAAGATGGGGTCAATGAATATTTTCCAAATAGCTTATCAAATTTAGTTCTGAATTCTTAGCGACAATAACATTGACGTGTCTGGGTTTTCATATCTATCTAATAAAAGATTCGTTATCACCAATCTTTGGGAACATGATCTCACATTTTAGAATGAGTTTCGTTTGCGTGACTTATAGAATAGATGTCAACACTTTTGAAAGTAATTGCAAAATGTTTTGAAATTCAAAACACAAAAAAGTTGAACAATTTTCGACTTTTAGTGTTAATCAAATGAATAAAGCATTTATCTTGTGTGGTAGTTGTTATGAGCTGAGAATAATGTTAAATCGGCTCAAAGTAGTAAAAGATTTTCCTCAGTTTTTTTATTTTTATTCTTATCAGCGGCCTGAGCTATCGGCTGTGTAGTTGGCGGCTGTTGATGATTTTCCATAGCATTTGATGCATTTATAGTTGGAAGATTCTCAGCGGCCGCAGCTCGTTCCTCTAGGAATTTGTCGAATTCGGAACTGGTAACGGTCTCCTCCAAGCCCTCCAATTCTTTCTGTAAGATTGCAATTTTGAGAAAAAAAAAAAACAACAAAAAAACAAAAAATTAATTTTGTAGTTCAAATATATGAAATCTATTCTCAAAACTAAAGTGAGCGCAACTTATAAAATAAAATGTGTGCCAAATAAATGGTTAGTAATTTTTTATCCATTTTCCAAGAGGGATGAAAACTACGATGAAATGAAAAAATGAATTTAGTAAAAACAACAATAATAATAATAACAACAACAACAACAACAAAAAGATAGGAAATAATAAGTATTACTTACAGAGCTTCCTAACCATGCCTCCATCTCATCAATTTCGTTTTCTTTAGCAGGCTTTTTTTGCAAGTTTTTTTTTTTTTTTTTATTTTATTCATTTTTTTTTTGCATTTAATTTTTTTTTTTTTTTTTATTTGTGGTTCGATTTTGTTTTGATCAAAGTAAGATAAATAAGTTTTTCAAACCCAAACAGAACAGTTTTTGTGTATAGGTGTGTGTAAGTATTAACATAAAAGAAGGAAAAGCAAATAATATTTTTGGAATTTTAAAAATCAAATAATAATTTTTAAGCAATTTATTCAATATCGAAAAAAAAAAATCAAAATATATTTCAAAAAAATTCAATTTCACATAACAAAAAATAAAAAAAATAAATAAATAAATAAAATAAAAGTAGAAATATTATTAAATTTGATTCAATTATTTATACTCACTTTACTTACCACCGGCATATCTGTGCCGGTACGTTTAAAAGGTGATCCTAAGCTGCCCGCAGCGGCATCCAGAGATGGAATGTCTTTTAATAAATCAGTTTTACTGGTAGAGAAATATAAAAAGGAAGAATTGAATTACGTAAACTTTTACAGGCGGATCTACTCCACTTAAGATGGATGATTTACTAAATATACTGATATATTAAAAGCTTTGCATTTTTTTTAAAATTTCATTCTGACAAAAAAAAAATTCATTCATGCAAGTGCTTGTATACATTCCCAACTGACATTCTCAATGAAATTGAATTAGGAAAGTTATCTTCAAAGAATACCCCATTTTTAACCTAAAAGATAATATACAAAATTTGGAACAGCTTGTCCGACATATTTCTTGAACTCTTGGTGGACCCCCGGTAAATTTCCGTGTCAAAATGAAAATCAATATTTTTTATATATGTAATTACTAACTAAGGAGAATAATATATATTGTTCATTATTTTCTCGAGATTTTAATTATTATAAAGGATAGCGATAATTTTAAAACGTGTTGTTCGGCGCATCTAAATTAATGGTATATCCGTCAAATTGAAATCATTTCTCTATCCCAGATTTTCGTTTCTGGGTGTGCCTCTACACACGCCCTTCTCTCCTCCAAACACACCTCTATCTGTGTACATGCTTTCTTTCTTCTTCTTCTTTTTCTCTGTTCATTTATGTACACGAATTTTATTCTTTTTTTCTCTTTAAATATTTTTTAATCATTAATTACTAACACTTTATATAAAATATATCTGTAAGAATTGCTGCTGATTTATGTTAGCTGAATGTAATAAAATAAAATGTACCCTACACTACTTGCATAAGTTTGTCTGGGCATACATACCTAATACAGGGGCTTAAAGTAGTAGACGATTCTGTTTATCTGTGCGCCGTGTCTGTCTATGTACATTTTTGTTTAACCTACAGGTCACAGTATTTGAGATATTTTGCTGAAATTTGGTACACTGACATGCCAAAGACGAATTGAATACAATTCAGGCTGGTCAAACTTTTTCCACCATTCACCTTATTTCCCTCCCATTTGGAAAAGTCATTATGACGAAAAAAAATTTAAATTTTCAAAATTTTTTAGTAAAACTCGCTGACATTCTAAATTGTTATAGAAATCTGAATGGGCCAGGGTAATTTTTTGAACTCCCTCACTGTATAATTGCTCCTACGAAAACTGAATTTTTTTTTTTTGGTAAAAAGCTATAATTTTGAACATTTCATGGCGAAAATTGGTTCATAATAGTAAATTGACAAAGAAATTAGCCTTGTTAGATTTAAACCATATGGGTCTATTGTTTGAATCCCATTGAATATAAGATTTCTCATGCATCGTAAATCCTTCAGAAAATGGTTTACTTTCTAATATTTTATGATGAAAATAGGTCCATAATAGCAATTTAGCAAAAAATTTAACCGTAGGGAACCTGGTTCATGCGGGTTTATTTTTTAGATCTTCAGATATAGAAGCCATGTCATAAAAAGTAGGACTTTTTATGGACAGAAAGTCTAATTTTCAATTTTTCTTGATGGAAATTAAAAAATAATGACATTTTTATGAAGTAAGTTAAGTTTGCTAAATTTGGATATTTTGGATATATATGATGTTTGGGGCAACCTTAAATATGCGGGCGTTCATGAAAAATATGCCTTCGCATTAAAAAAAATAATGTGTCGTGTTTGAATGATTATTACCCAAACGAATGAATAGCGGCGGCCTCGTCTGTCGTTACATCCTTACATGTTTCTTTTTATTTTTGTTACATCCACCAATCAAGGATGACGGAACTTTCAAAAGGAGACTTCATATACACCATATAGTATATATATTATTGATTAGCATCGAATTTTGTATCGACTTAAGGATGTCCGTCCGTCTGTCTCTCTATATAATGCCTGTGGTAAACATTGTTCCGCCCGCAAGAAATGAAGTTATCGACTTTAAATTTGGCAAAAACATTGAAAATTCTTGCACGCAAATTAGTGATTGAAATTGGGATCGAAAATTCGCAAAATGTCTTAAAGAACACGCCCACCACACAATTTAAACTTGAGAACATCTTGCTTTTGAAAACCGGAAAATGGAGATTTTTGCATGAGAAATATAAAATAAAAATTTCCACTTATAGTTCATGGGCCATGCTCAGCTAATTTTATAGAGTAAAGAAATTTATTTATTTATTTTCAGTTTTTTTCTGTGTTTTGTTAAAAAAAAATTGTAGGTAAAAACAATTCGGCCATAGTCGAATATAATTTTTTTTAACTTAAATTAGAAAACACTTACTTGCTGCCGTTGGTACGAGATTGTGCCAACATATCGAACTCATCCGTTTCTCTATTGGTAGGTTTAGCACTCGCATTGATACCTAAACAATAGAAATGGGGAATGATTAAAAAAATTCGTGTTTTTAGAGGACGTTGTTTTAAATTATTTAATATTCACCCAGTTTGCTGAAATTGTTAAGCATATCTTCGGTATTGCTGTCGGGAAAATCTAAAAGTCGTGGAGGTTCTGTGGAACCGGTAGCCACGGCGTTCGTGTCTAAGGCTGCAGCAACACTTGGTACGCCCATGGCTGCTCCCAATACAGCCGATGGAGAAGTGACGTTCGTATTGCTAGCTCGATTCTTTTCATAACGTTGATGACGCAAAAATAAATTATTAAGTTCATCATTAATACGTAGTAGTTCAGCGGTCAGTTCATCATCGGTAATACGGCCAATTAAGTCGACGATGCGGGCTTGCATTTCTCTGCGCAAGAAAAAAGAAAAAATAAATAAAACGATTATTTTTATTTGAAGCGAAAGCACTTTTTGAATTATTAGAATTTTTTCGTTTTTTCATTTACTTGCAAGTGGCGACTAAATCGGTTAATAGTTGATAATCTTCAGGTGTTTCCTGGCCGGGTTTCAGCTCAGTTAACATTTCACCCAAAATTGACATGTTAACTGTAACGACAATATCCAATTCTGCCTGCAGCTTGGCCAATTGTTCGGCTGTTAATTGGCTGGGATGCGAGGGCTTTAGTTTTAATTAAAAATTAAACTAAAATATTTTGTAGAAAATTTAATTAGGATAGAATTAATTACCGCTGCACCAGTTGTCACTCCTGAAGTGAGTACCATTCCATGTTGTGGTGAAACAGCTGGCTGATTTAAGGCCGGATTGGCGGCGGGAGGCTCGGGTACACTCTAAAGCGGTTAAAATGTCAAAACAAGAAATTATTATTAATTCTTTTTTCATGAAACCCACCCGTTGTGGTGTATAAATAGGGGCCATATTCTCCATATCAGTTTGAGGAAATTCGATGCCTTTATTTTTTAATTCGTTGTACATTTGTGTAACACCGATTAAATCAGGCTGATTTTTAAATGCATCGGACCAAATTTGTATTAAACTGAGCACTTTCTCTTGCACTATAACCGGCGGATCATTTTTCGGTCCAATTAACTTTATCAACTCCTGTATGAAATCCTTGTGCGCCACTAGCACGTGAAAGGCTTTACCACAATTCTTTACGCATGTCTCCAGTACAGTCAACGTATACATTATGACTTGATTATTTTTACCAGCGTTTTGCTGCAAACGCTTGCGTATCGCCTTCATCGCATCTCGAGCTGTATCCGATGATTCATTAATCATATCGCATATTTCCATATTAACAGCCCAATTTTCAGAAGTTAAAGAAGCATCCGTGGCTTGCTCTGAAACATTTTAGATAACCAACATTACATTACATTATAAACATACACGCCTAAACATGTCGTGCTATATTTAACTGAAACAGTAACTCATAAGACGGCATTAGTCATCTGAAAATTGAATGCATACAATCATGTAACATGTACTGGCGGTTATATAAAGCGTGTTTATTAAACAAACAAAAAAGTAGACTTGTTGCGCTTGGCTTATCGTTGATATGGATTTATTAGTTTTCACTACGAATAGAAGGTTCATTAACTTTGTCCGATCGTTTATAACATGTTCAAGCGAAACGATCTTATGTCGCATAATTTGATCTGAGCATCATTTTGCAATTCGTTGTAATCATCATGCATCGCTTCTCGCTTTACACTTTACTTTCCACTTTTCGCGTCTAATTCAAATTGAGACTAAATTTTTGAAATAAACTGATAAAATTAGTCCTTTACTCGCCTTGTCAGATAAGAATAGCTTTTGTTTTCATTTCTTAAGGCGTATTGTCTATTCCACTCCACTGCCTGGACTAGTCATCGGTTACTTCATACCGTTATAATACTAATACGTAAATATTATATAATAGGTATATAGAGTATATAATAAGTACACTTACATGACATGTTACCCTTACATTGTTATCCTATATTATTAATAGAATATATAACAGTATATGGAACACTTACGTGACATATTACCCTCACAATGTTATCCTATCTTATTAATTAAACATACTTTCCTCAGTTTCGAACCATTTTTTACAAGATTGAAACAAGTAAAAACCGTATAGTGGGACACGGCTTAGACTACTCCGCACCATTTCGCTTGACACCCTTACTCCTAGAATAATTTCTCAAAGTAAATAAGACACAATTTGCCCTATTTTCGATCGCGTTCGTTGTTGAACCAAAAACGTATCGGCGTGCCGATATGTATTAAAAGTTGCGGTCTGCCGAATGGGCACGAGAAAAGCAGACAGGCGGACAAACAAACGGATAGACAAGTCTAGAGCAATTCAGAAAATAATTCTGAACCGGTCGGTATAATTATAATAATAGGAGGCGGGTCTATCTCAAGTCTTTCTGGATATTACATGCATCCACACTAAGTTAATATATGCTTGCACCACAAGTAGTGTGGAGTTTAAAAACCAAAACAAACATTTGCCCGATTGTTAGAATTTAGATTAGGTTTTCTCTGAAGCTAAATTAACGAACCTGTTCGAAGAGAGCAGGCAATAATCTATTTAATGCGAATTTTTTACAGTAACATATAATGTAGAAATCAATTCAATGCTCAGGTTAATAATTATGATGACAGTGGATTAAGACAGATTCGTTAAGCGCGTTATACCACAAAACTATTGGACATACAACAATTTGCTTTGAATGAGTGAACATATCGGACATGCCTTGGATGTGCAGCGAATAACATCGGTTATTTCAATTTCCTAACATGCATGGCGGTGTTTACTACATCGCAGCGTAGGGCATCGCCGAAGCACTACAAAAATAGAGCAAACTGCGCTTCTGCAATGCCTTTGGTAATTTTAAAATTTTATTAAATTTTCAGTGTCACCTTTCGATTTGCCGACAAAGTTGACAGTTACCGGTTATAAATGCTACTACCGCCTCCAGATTCGGCTTAGAAAACTTTAGAAAGAATTCCATCCATAAAAACGAAATTATTATATTATTATATATAGTCTCACATCGAATTCCTTAACAACTATTTTCTAAAACTAAGCCAACAAGACGGAGCGAAGAATCATTCGATTTTCAAAAAGCAGCGTAGCTGAATCTGTATATTACTAAGGAAACGTATGGGCTTTCTTATCACTTTTGTTAATTTATTAAGTTATCGACGTTAACTAAATCGTTTTTAGGACGCAGCGACAACAATAATAAATGAAACTGGGGAAATGAAAAAAACTGCGAGTGAGATTCTCGATCGATCTAACTGATTCTTTTGTTCAACATGAGCGCCTCAATAAATGGCATGTAGTGGTCCGCGAACCTAGTAAAACTAGGTAAAATAACTTAGACCACCCTAGACAGACGGGCATTGGTAAGTGACTTTGAGTCGATTGATTTAATAATAGACAGATCTCCACTTCTTCTCAATATTGCATACATTTACACAAACTTAATATGTCCTTGTATCACAAGTTGTGTCGGGTATAAAACTTGAAGCTCTAAGCAAAACTTAAAGGTTATGATTTAGAGAAAGGGAAATATGGTCAAATTTTTGATAGTCAAAAGTCGACAAATTAACCGATTTCATAAAATTTTTCATTTTATCAAAGTTGTCGGAAATGGGAACGGGCAAACGAGTAGACGGATAACTCCTTTATACCTTTACCAATATGATACCTTTATATAATATGATCAAGAATACAAGTACGATGTGAGATGTTGATCTCAATGCGTAACATTATGCGTTATAAATTTTTGGCATATGCAATCTATTTCTATTTTTCTGTAGTGAATATAAAATATTTCAAAATTCGAGGATGCTACTGCATCGCATTTATAGCGAAATGAAAATTCAGTTTAGATTTAGTTTGTTTTAATCGCTTGCTTTTGTCGTAATTTCATTTTGAATTTGGTTACCGATCCGTACAAAACCACATGCGGTAACTCGTATCGGTATCTTTTTATTATTATTATTATTATTATTTACTTGGGCAACTGTTTGTTTTGTTCATGTAAAAGTATTATTAAAATACATTTGTATTGCTTCTTTGTTATTCACATAAAGTTGTGTGGTCATTACACTCAATAAAATTTGCGTCTATCTAGATGTGTATGGACCGCATCGAATTGACACCGATAAAGAATGCAGGCGAGAATGTTGGCGAATTTCTTATTAAAAACAATTTTCCCTAATGATAGAAAATATACAAACGAAAGCTTAATTTCGCAATTATCGCGTCATCCATGTGATAAGACTCTGATAATAAGGGTATACTGAGATAAGCAAAAACATTTCACTCGCCTTGTGGTGAATTTCTGATTTCAAAGGGGTTTTTTTGTCTTCATTCCCAAATTGAATTGTCATCAGACGACTTTAGCAAAACGTGCTATATATCTATATCTTCTAAAGCTTGCGTGGTCACCGTTTTTTTCATGGTTCCTGCATGATTTCAAGCAGATGCACATTTATTCTTTTCCTTCCAATTAATCAATACGATAATGTTCATCTTACTTGCTTAAGTGCAGATCGAAATTCTTTCCACGCTTAGTTACGGAATTATATGGAATATATGTACAAGGTTTTCTATTACAATGTTTACTTTCTAGTTTCTATAAACAAAGTGACAAGCTGATGATGCCCTTCTTGTTCAAGTCTAAGACTATAACTTATTTAGGAAACGTTTTCTCACTTTTATAAAAATATATGAATAAATTATAAGTTTGTATTCAACAAAATGATAATAATTTATGCATTTTGCAAAATCAATTCCAAAATAATGAAATACATATGGTAAGTTTCGTACTTGTCCGTCCAACCTATACTTGTGCTTTTTGTTTAATGAATTTTCTTTGATTCACATATATAAATGGGTCATGTGAAAAAAGTTGGAATATTTTACATTGATTTTAGAGTGAATGCATGTACGCCTTGAAGCACCTTTCATAATTACACCTAAATTTGATAAACGAGAGGGCAAATTGCTGACTATGCGTTGGTTAATACCACCGAATAGCAACCTTAGTAAAAATTATTCAAATGAAATGGTCTTGAAACTATTATCTGAACGGGTAAAATTTGTTTAGCAAGCCGTGCAAAGGAAAGTTGTAAACGAAAACGTTTAAAGGAAAATCAACCACGTACGAATATATGTAAATTAGCAATAATTGGGAAAATTCAATTTGACAACGCGAGCGAATCAATTTCTTCATGTTTATTTTTTGGAGAGACTTTCCTTAATGTTTCTTCAGTTTAGCCATACTTTTTAACTATTATTGATTTTTCCATTCTTTCTCCTTTACGATAATTTTTTTTTTTTTCAATTATTGCAGGAAAATTTACCGATACGTTGTCCAACAGGCGTTGAAAATGGGTTTGTGCCCACATTAAAAAATGAAGCCATCGTTTCTGCACACCGAAGTTGTTTCTTGTTTTTTATATTTAAACACAGCACAGGATTCAAAACTTGATTATAATAACTATTACACGCAATTTACTATAAGTGACAAAACAACATCAACATCTACGTTTTACGTGTTAAAAATGACTTGATGAATATTGTCTTTTTTTCGCAATTTTTGTATGTTTTCTTGCATATTCTTTCAATTTTTTACACTCACAGATCGTATACGATCTTGACTTTCATTGCTACACTAATAGGGTTGCCAAGATTTGCAGTTCGTCTTTATATGCAATATCGTATTTTTGTGACATCCACGTATTTTAAAATCTTTTTTAGGTTTACTCCTAACTCTGCGATTTTTGAAACATATTTATCCACGTTCAATTTTAATCTGTTAATTGGTATTTTATTCGAGTCTTTTAATCAAGCTTGCGTCGAACTTGTACGCTGCGATATATATCATTCTTACATATCTCTCAAAACTACTTTAATATATGTATATTTTAGTTGCCGGTGAAACGTTAAGTTTTTCTAGGCATATATTTTTGGCTCTGTGTCCGTTGAAGTGAAAATGGAAAGTGGTTCTTGGATAGGGATATTACGAAAATTTTAAAATGTTAGAAATATGTAAGAGATAAAAAATTATCACTGTCATATCGTTGACATTGAACATTATGTACCATATACTTATTATACAGTAATGACATAATAACGTTTTAAAACTATCGCTTGCATGCCATCACTGACGATTGTCAAAATTTATTGATCTTGTTTTTAATTGTCAGCATTTTTTAACGGGCAGTGGACTGTGGAAAATTCTCATTTAGTGCACAAAAAGGGAAATTATATTTCATATTTATTAGGCAAAAATTAGAAAATTGGTAATGGCTTGTAATGCTAACAGAGTTCCTTTTCTGCGCGTGATCGCTGTAAGTAAATTTTTTCCTTTCGCAAGAATTCTTCGCAGTGTTTGTAATCGTTACGTAAGACAAACCTAACCGTTGGCCTTAATTGATGAAAAAGTTTATTTACGCCCATGAGATACTAACAATGTTTGTGTTTTATTTTTTTTTATAATATTTTAGAGGCGTGGTTTTGCGGCTGCGGCCAACCCCAGGCCTTTGGGACAACCCGCCCAAGTGCAAACCAAGGTACTCGAAAACAAAGTTGTAGTGGCTTCTGCAGAAAGTCAACTGCCCATTTGCCGCGTATCGATTACTTTTCGGTATGCAATGATATAAATAATTGCAAAAAGACAGTGAATTATAGTGTATATAAATATGTTTTGATTTTAGTGCCGGTGCACGCTTTGAAAATTATGAGAGTTTGGGTGCGTCTCATATGTTGCGGATTGCTGGATCTTTGTCCAGCCAAAATGCTACTGCCTTTGCCCTGACACGCAATTTGCAGCAAAAGGGTGTAAGTTTGTCGGTTACTTCCGATCGTGAGGTCGTATCCTACACAGTAGAAAGTACGCTTGACAACGTAGAATGCGGCTTACATTATTTGCAAGAAGTCGTACAACCTGCTTTTAAACCTTGGGAATTATCCGACGCAGTTCCCTGGATTAAGACACAAGTAGCTGCCGTACCACCACAGGTAATATTTTTTGCATATGGTTTTGATAATATGAAAAGCATTATCTGCATCGCCAAACATATGCATAGAAAGCATTATTTTCTTTATGTGAGTTTATATTGCTCAGGCAAGGGACTCGTAGTATATTCTATGCAGCGATGTGACGTATATACATCTTTATTTTGCTGGAGCACTTGAGGGGAAGAGAATTTATTGAGAGGCGGTCACATAAAGGAAATATGTCGATCGAAAATGTAGTAAAAGTATATTCGAAAGTATTTAATTTTTTTTTTTTTTTTGGAAAGTTGGCTATGACAGACTTCGTCTTAGCAATAAAAACATGTAATAAGCAGCATATACGTTATCAAACATGCAAGCAAATAGATCAAATAGATAGGTGGTGGAAACTCAAGATTCATTCTAAAATTATTTTTACATATGCGCTATATATTTCTTATATGCTTTTTTTGCTGTACAGGTACGTGCTGTCGAGCTTGCACATAAATCTGCTTTCCGTCATGGCCTAGGCAACTCTGTGTATATACCCAAATTCCATATTGGCAGCCTCTCTAGTGAAACTTTATTACACTATGTAGCCAATAATTGTACTGCCAGTCGTTGCGCTGTGGTAGGTCTTGGAGTTGAGCATGACGCTTTAGTGGGCTTTGCGCGATCTTTACCATTGAAGAGTGGTGATGGTAAATCGGATTCTTCTACTTATCATGGCGGTGATGCCCGCAAAGACACACCAGGTAATTACACTCATGTGGCTGTTGCTGGTCAAGGTGCCGGCCTAAGCAATCAAAAGGAGGCTTTAGCCTTCTCTGTCCTTCAGTATGCTATGGGTGCTGGTGCTGTCACTAAACGTGGCAATGTTAATGGAGCCATGGGCCAAGCTGTGCACGCGGCTGTGGGTGAAGGCAATTTTGCTTTTGCTGCCTTGAATGCCAGTTACCTTGATGCTGGACTCTTCGGCTTCGTGGTGTCAGCCGATGCGCAAAAAGTAGGCAAAGCAATTACTGCCGCTACCAAAGTTCTAAAGTCCGGCTCTGTTAGTGAAAACGACGTTAGTCGTGGCAAAGCTTTGCTAAAACTTGCTGTTCTGGAAGCCTACGGCACCGACAAGGACGCTTTAACCGAAATGGGCGTTCAGGCTTGTCTCACCAAACAAGTGCAAAGCGCCGATGCCCTTGTTTCAGCCATTGATAGCGTATCAGCACAAGATGTTCAAGCTGTAAGTTACTCGAGTAACGACAAATTGTTGATTTTAATTACAACTATAATTTTCAATTTAATTTTTAGGCTGCCAAAAAGGCCGGTTCCTCTAACTTATCTGTAGGTGCTGTAGGTAATTTGTCACACGTCCCTTATGCATCTGAATTGGTTTAAATGCACTTGTCTTGTAATTTATATTTAGTTTTTAATTGTTATGTAATCAACACGATAAACAAGAAATTCAAGTTTTCTTAAAAACACTTAAAATGAAAACAGAGCGAGAAAAATTCTATAGACCATCGTAAACGATATAACAAAATTAAAAATAAAAAAATTAATTAATCTACATTTCCTATCGTTTTTTTGACTAAAACGGAATCAAAAGTTTTAAGTAAGAACGAAAATCTTTACGAGGAATTTTTGATGCCCGCACGTCAAACCAATACCAATTACAGTAGAAAAACATTTTGATAAATGAGCGTGCGCCACTCGATTAATGTGAACTATCTTTAAATGCATTTTTTATTTCACGTTAGGAAGTATTTATACATCCATTTCTATACCGACATCTCTTAAAGCCTATACTTTGTAGAGGGATTTGTTGGTGGATAGAATCCACTTGCGAACAGAATCAGTTAAACCCATATATGTAAAGTCTCAGTTTTCTATTCGATGCTTTGATGTATTTTGATCATTTGTTCACTTGAAAAAGTCATTTATTGAGAAAAATTGGTACAATATAGATAAATCGGATCGGATCGAATGGAATTTTTCATTTCCCACAAATTTTTCCCATCTCTCTGGCAACTTGGCGGTATCAGTATTGGCTTGGTATCGAGCCGTTTTTGCACTTCTCCAGCATTTCGAAACCGCGCGTCAGCCGAGACATGCTGCATCGATCTGAATCGCTATGTCTGGTGAGTACGGTGGGTGCGGCAGAACTTTCCATTCGAGCTGTAGCAGTGTATCCTTAGCAAGTGGCGCAACGTGTAGCCGGACGTTTGCGTCTGTTAACCGCTGTTGCTGGCACATCGTTCAACTTGTTCAATGGACATCGGTGGTCATCTGCAGTAACAGCTCCATTCGGTTCTAGCAGCTCGTAATATAATATACTTTGCTGATCCCACCATACGCACAGCAAATTTGATGGTTATGAACATTTTGCTTCGCCGATGTGCATGGGTTTCTTGGACTAACCTACAACTCTTTGCACTTGGGATTGTTGTAGTGGAGCCACTTTTCATTGCCAGCTACAATATGCCGCAGAAAATTCTTTTTTTGCTTGGAAAAAAATGAAGCCACGATCTTGGAACGGTCCGAGATGGAATTTTCAGTGAATTCGTACGAAAGTCATTTTCACTCTTTTTTTGATATTTCCCATTGTCTAGAGACAGTTAACTCATCAACTGCTAAAGTGTTCGAAGGGTCTTTCAGAGTCCGAACCGGATTTTGGTCCAATAAGTCTTGTGTAATTTATTGTCTTTAAGCTTTCTGGGTCCGTTCTCCGTCATTGAATTGATGTCAATCCTCACTATGCTCACCTTCTTAATTCCTCGAAAGTAAAATATATGGTAAAATACTACATGATGTAAATATATAGTATCCAGCCATGTAGATAAAGAAGACTTTATTTTTACATTAATTATTAAAATATATTTAGTTTTCCGGAAACACATTACATTGGCAACAAGATTATATACATAAAAACATCTTTGGAGATACGTAAGTGGAACGATGTAAGATGGAAAAATAGCACTACTAGCGAAGTATAATGTGTATGTAATCACATCGATATTTTCCTTCTATATTAATGCAACGATAACTATGGCAATAAATAACACGATGATTACCAGCCAATAACCTATAATGAAAAAACGATATTTAATCATTTCGCTAACCGTATGCATGGTATATAAGTTTACACCAAGTTTTGTTATCTGTACGGTTAACCAAAGTGATGTTATGCGTTTCGTGGCCAACGCCCGTCTCAACTCGTTCCATAGTCACGGCCAAATTATCAAGAATCTCTGCACAAATGTATTGAAAAGTAAATTATACGATATCATCTTTTCGCGGATTTAATGATGATAATCACCATTTTGATCTTCCACTTCTTGCCCCAACTGAGTGGCTAAAGCTCGTTGTCTTGATATTGTTTGAGAAAGTATATCAAGACCATGGTTTTGCTGTTCTAATATGGCGATCTGATGTTGTTTTAATGCTTCTACATCGCTGGTATCAATGATAGGAGCAACATCGCTATCATTTTCAGCGTCACCAAAATCGGCATCTGCCGTTCTACCTGATGATCTAATGCCGCTAAAAGCGGTGACACCCATTCCCGATTGCGCTACTGCAGAACAATTATCTATGTATTTTTTTTGAATTTGTTGTCGTTGCGATTGCAATGTAGCCACTTGGCGTTGGCGTCGTTCGCTTTCTTCGAAAGTTCTAACGCGTTAGAATAGAAAGATTCATTAAAATATCTTTGAGCGGACTACGTTTATGGAAAATGTAGGTGGTAGACTGGAGGTAATTTTTTTAAATATGAACTGAAAAATGTAATTGATTTTTTGTTTCTGGTTTACCTTTGAAAAAAAAGAATTCTTTATATGCCTATATTACTGAACGATTTCCAACGTCATTTTCACTCAATTTCCATTATATGAGTTTGGAACGTTTTAATTTTACTTACATTGCTCCTTCTAGTACTGCGTCATTCAATTTACTTTTCAACTGCTGCAATTCATTATCAAACTGTTTCAGGCCGACTTTTATGGATGAAGTTAAACGATTATACTCCAAGGAAGGATTCTGGCAACGATCTCGATGATTCAACTTATCAAGTAACGCATGACTAAGGCGGGAACAAGACTCATATTCAGTGGCCCTGAAAAAGCATAAAAATTAGCTCTGAAAAAGTACTTTAAAGCATATAGAAACATACCAAGAGTCGACATCTACTAAAGCCATATTTTTTGAATTCTTTGCTATTATTGTTGTTTTTTTAGTTAACTAACAGTCAATTGGACTATGTTGATTTGCTTGTAAAAAGCTAATTATTATGAAGAGCGCACCAGCTGAACGCTAACCTTTGTTTAAGATTGCGATCTCTTGTTTATGTTACTCTTTGTGTGACTACAAAATATGCCTTTTTTTGAACTCATTTGCGAAATCTCAACATTTTATTAAACAAATATCCATGCGCTGCAAACATCAATTCAATAATTCGATTAATAAACATCAGCTGATTTAAAATAGTATTTTATGCGAACTTACGAAATGTTACGCAGCCGTCCAAAAAAATTCAACACAAAAAAGCAAACAGCTGATGTAAAGGAATATTTAGGCGTTTAAAGTATTAAGCTCGATATCAAACCAAAAAAAATGCTTCCAGAGAATTAACAAAAACTAAAAACTCAAAGCACATAAATAAATATAGCCAGTCTTATAATAAACAAAAACAAAAAAAAATGCAGATATTTGCAGAATATTTGCTTGAAACGGTAAGGCATTGGAAGACAAGACATGGTAGATACAACATGAAAAAATCTGTTTGTTTCAGGCGCTCCTATTAAGTCTTCGTACATATATCTTTCAATGGCGATGTTATATGGTATAATGAGCGGTAAAATGTAGAAAATTACTTTAAAGGTAAGTAGAGAACCAATATCGAAATATATAAGATGCTATGTGAATGTTTTTAAAACTGCTCATAGGGGTTATGTCCTCTTTGCCTATACACGCATCACATCAAGTCATTTAATGCCGAGTACGCGACGTTTGTCATTTGTAAACTCAGCCTATGAGAGTGAGAAAATTTTTACTGGTTTATTACTTTTGAAGAAGGGTGATGTGCTTATATTTTAAACATTCTCACGAACACTAGTTAAAGATCAATTCTACAGGCATTAACACTTGAACACAACCAAAACCGGTCAATGTACTTAGCGTTACAAAAGGTAATTAGAATTTCAAATTTGAACTGTTTGTGCGGCAGAAAGGCACATCTGAATAAATGAAAGAAAATACATAAGTAATAAGAACATTAAAAAGCTTACGTTGAAAGGGTAATAAAAGAGAAAGTAAAGCTACACGAACATGAGAAAATAATTTAATTAAAATGAATAATTAACATTAATTTTTACATTAATTAATTTATTGAAAATTCCGTAACATATTTTCTAATTTCTTAAATACATTTAATTTGGTTTTCTATCATTGAATTATTTCTTACATTAATCAAATGCAACACTGTGTATCAAACACATGATTGCTTTTTTTTACAGTGCTACCAATTGCTGTTGATTTGACATATCTTAGAAATTCAGCTATTTCGTGGCTGAACTTTATCCGTCGTGTGCTTGTGTGTGAAGAGGTCTGAGTGAGGAAAATCGTGTGAAAGAAAATTTTCACTATCAGAATTTTCCCTGCCGAGCTCAAGCTTACGCGTGTTACGTTCGAGTTTCCCAACAACCATAAAAAATTTCACCTTCAGTTAAAGAAAAAAAAAATTGCAAACATTTGCCTATAAATCGCGCACCGTTTATTAAAAACGCCTCCAAACGCAGCTGTTTGAAAAAGTAAAATTTTTGAATCAACAAATTAACGCACAAAAGAGCGCCAAAACCAGACAATTCCAAGAAAATTTTATTAAAAATATATTTTGCCAAAATAATCAAAGGAGAAAAATTAAATTTCGCAACGGCAAATGCATTCGCTACAAGCTATATAGAGAAAAAAGCACACTGCAGTTTTTGGTGAAATTTTCTCAGAAAAAAAAAGAAGAAAAATCCACTTTAGTAGCACAACTTTTTTTTAATTGGAAAACTTTTCGAAATCAAAAAACACAGTAACTTATGTTTTGATAATCATAATTTAAAAGTTTTTCAATTCGTCAATGTAGAAAAATAAGGGAAATCTATAAAAAAAAGAAAATAAAACCAAACGGTATTGAAAAATTAACAAAATAAAAAAACGAGCCTTTTACTAAATTTTGCGAAATCAAAACTAAAAGGGAGAAAATAAAAACAAGCCAAATACTTTTGCAAAAGTGCTTAATTCTGTCTGAAAAGCTAACGGTAAGTGTTGTAAAAAAAAAAAGGAAGAAAAAAGAGAAAAATCATAAATGTACAAAAAAAGTTTTTACGTTATGCAAAAATATTGAAATGTATGTGGAAAATGGAAAAAAATTGTCTTTAATGCATTTTATTTGCTTAATTGTGAATATCTCTCAATTTATATATACAGTCGAAATGAGCCAAAGAGTTGGGACAGCATCCACATCTCATATTTATAAGAAAACCAGAAAATCGAATCTTGAATTGGGTCACTGTGTCACAAATAGCAAAACGTCGTACAATCTAAACACAACCAAATACATAACATACAAGCGCACATTCGCACACATTCGCACAAAGACCGACATACACATCTAAGCACACATCTATAGCTATACACTTGTCTGTATCTTTCTGGCAGTATTTAACTGCTTTCGTGTATGCATTCCTACATATATATATATATATATATCGTAGAGTTCCTCTACGGACACACAACAATAACAGTAGCAACAATAACAAGTATCATATTATTACAACAACATCAATGGCACTTGCAGTTGTCTTTTTTATTTATTTACTTTTTTTTCTATTGTTCGTTAACACAGCTACTGCTTGAAGTTGCCTGCTTTAAAAAAAAAAAAATAGAAGAAAATTTTGCCCCTCTACACCTTTATGATGTTTAGTATATCTTGTTTCAGTAGACTTTTCGCATTGTCACCCTCCCTTCTTGATATAGACTTGCGTGTTACCCCTTTGGCAACGAAAAGATATATAATCTTGTACTGTCTTCTCGCTCCTTCTGTGCATTGAATGCAAAAGTAAAATTGTAATAAGAACTTACTAAACCAGCCTTTCCCTAGAGGCGTACTCTCGTACATGGTTTTCTGTTTATTGTTAAACTTTCATTAGATTTCTCGAAAGGAAGCAATTGCATGAATAAAAAACTATTTAAAGTAAAGCTACATACTTTTGGTTTGTTTTTTTATATAGATCGAGGCAAAACTCAACTCGTCAAGATAAATAATAGGAGTAAATGAAATTAATTTACAAATGGCATTAACACGAAAGTGGCTTATCATCTCATGACTGCTTTGAAGGTATTTTTCTCCGTCTTTGGGAGAGGTACTCTGTTTCTAACTGAACTATATTACGATTAGAGAGTGTATTTGTATTACGTTTGGATGAATGTTGATTGTAAGTGTCAAACATGCCTCAGAGAGATTATTACAGTTTTTTTATAGTAAATTAAAATGAAAAGCATTGTCAAGTCATTACTTGTTTAATTGGACTCGCGAGTAAATTTCCTTTCATTTCGCTCGGAAATCATTGGCATAGATAAAGCATTAAGCAGCTGTTTACTACTCATTCGAACGTTTTAGTAGCATGAATCGTAATATACCGGGATCGCGTTCATCGGATCGATAGGTTTCGATGTTGTTAACATTTAACTCCTAATGACAGAAGAGATTCCTTTCTAACTTCTGAGCAACCAACAAAATTTGTTAACCGAAGAACATTTAATCGTTTGAATAGGCATTAAGCAGATTGATCGATTGAACTAACGGGCAAATAAGCTGGGGAGGAAAATGGATACAGCAGAACGGTTGGTGTGCTTCCTTCATCTTTCCGAATTGTAAATGCAACTGTTATAATTGTCTTTTGTTCCATTTGTCGCCATCGCTCGAGTACATCTAAAAAACTTGTAATTATGCTAACACTGGTAGCGCTGAATATCTCCAAATACAGGGCATATGTTCACGTAGACGATAAGGGATTATTTCGATTTACGTGTTTACTTTTATCGCGAATTTTATCGTCAATTGTTGTACATATGATTCTTGCTCTGACGTTTTAATGTAATGCGTTGCAAACCGACAATAAACCCTGTTGAATGTTCAATGTCGATTCAGTCCGAGGGACCAACGAATTCTCCGCTACTAGCATTGGAAATTTCCTTCCGTTCTTTCCTCTTCTAGGAAGGAAAGCCTAATCTTGCAGTGTAACACGTCGACAGGTCCATCAGAGGTTGCAGACACTTTCCTGACTGGTAGGATCTAATGCATACACCGTACAGATGCTGTCGACTTGCGACAATTTTGCAAAAATAGCTAATGGACTTGTGAAAGTGGCAACATGGCCGCGTTTCGACAGAAATGAAGTGTTGCCGAAAAAGTGGTAAAAAGCATAGCAAACGAAACGCCACAAATATGGCCGATAATTACGTATAAACAAAATAACTCTCGCTTTCGTTTTCAGCTGTTCTTGCTATATAGCTGAAGGCGAAAATGAAACGTGATTATCCGTTCGTTTTTTTATTAATAATACATAATATAATTTTAGTTTTAATGCGAGATTGCTTAGTACTTTTTAGACAACTTGTTATTTAATATTTTATATAAAGACGAACATAGGTCTCTATATACCCTGAAATCCTTAATCAAAAATTAAAATTTTATTAATGCAAGGAATGCCACTAACGAGGATTCTCAATGAGTGAGTGTAGTTTACTCTTATACGAACATGATTGTGTATGGAATAATGTATGTAATGCGTCCCTGACAAGAGTTTTTTTTTTGTAGTATTTCAACTACAAAGTAATAACCTTTTCCAACTGAGTTGGCATGTTATAATACAAAATCTATTAATAATGCAGAATCTCTGCGAAAATTCCGTTGCATAGAAATGTTTTGCTTATTCCACTAATCATTCCACGCTCACTCATACGTTTTTTAGCTTTGTTCTGCGTAAAGAGGACGGAGGAGGAAAGTATGAATATTAATGAATTTGTTAAATATGGATTTTGTTCTTCTTCCGCATTTTATATTGCAAACATCTCTGGTCTGATATCACTCGTTTAGCATTAGTTTGCCTATTATCGACTGATGCTAAATGCAAAGCAAACAAAAAAAAAATGCTATTTTTTTCGCTGTTTTTTCTTTATGTTACACTGTGATAAATGCGACTGTAAAACGCGAGCATGTGCACAGAATCTACGACCCGACCGCATACTCATTTGTTAATTCCTCTTGAAATGCAAATTTTATTCTTCACGAGCCAAACCAATCAACTAGCCAGCCAGCCCGGCAACTTGCCACAACATAGCCAGAAGCTTTCTAACAGAGTGAAATCTTGATAACAGGCAGCAGTGGTAGTGGTGCGCTGCCAGAGTGTTTTAACGGCCCTTCTCGCTTCCACATCCACACTGCTCCTGCACTGCCACAACAAATGTTATTTAAATGAATTGCAAATTCAAACAATGGCCAAAGAGTACATGTCGACTTTTAGAGGAAAAAAATCAAGTTGGAAAACTTTATTCACTCTAAAGCAAAACTTGAGCACGTACCAAAACCACACGGATATATCAATATATATATATATATATATATATGAAAATAGGCCGTTTTTCCCATCATCACGGGCCTATTGTGATCACTTTCCAATAGAAATTTTTTATGTGACGAAGATCCGTTCAATTCCTGTGGCTATGGGAAAGTCACTTGAGCGACTGAACGGCAGGTCGATGGACATGGACGACTAAAAATATACATTCTATTGTAAACGAAGAGTGATTAAACTTTGTTGTACTTTTAAATATTATTTAAGAGCATAAGTATGAAGCAAAAAAAAGTATATAGAATAAGACCAACTACTAGCTTATAGCCCCGTGTCGTCTATGATGTATGGAGAGGGTAGTGCATGCACAAAATGAAAAACCAATGGCCCCACAACTTGGCTTGTATGCTATTATTTTTTTATTTTTTTTTATTAATTCGCTGAATGACTGACGTGACCACTCGTTTCTCTGTTTGTTTGATTTGTTTTGTTCTAGGTTGCTAGTTCACTGGTTTACTTAGCTCAATGGCTAACTCACTTACTGAATATAAACCAAAAACAAAAACAACCAACCGACTGTTCAACAAACTTACTCTCTAACTGATATACTAAAGCCGCCGTTATATGCCTTACAGAAATGTTACGGCATCGTTTGAATTGCGTGTGCTGTGTATAAATGGTTGTGCATTATATAAATATATATATATATATATATATATGTCGTCTCGATGATGTAGTACTTTTACTTGGGTGCTGGTTCTGTTCGTACACTTTGTGGGTGGGTGGATGTTATTGTGGGCTAAATATTTGTTTTTTTTTTTTCATTTTCATTTTTCTAGTTCTTCTTATTTTCTACTCTGCTGTGCTGTTTGATGTTTTATCGCTTGCTTTTGACTTGAGTTTGACACTGACAGTGGCAAAGAGAGATATAAGTATGAAAAGAGAAATAAAGGAAGAGAGAGACAGGAAGCGAGAAATAATGAAAGAAAGAAAGAGAAGTTGTCGATTTGTGTATGTGTTTTAAGATAAGTATGACGTTATTAAATGAGCATAAGATGTAGTAAATAAGAATGCAAAAAAGAGCATGCATGCTTCTCTAAATATTTATGTAAAATGTGTGCAATATATATACGTATAGGTTTACATGTATATTTGTGCGCACACAAGAGCACAGACAGTCATAAATGTAACACAGACGTTATTAATGTAATATATTTGAAGAGAATTAATCTGCGGAGGTTGATTGTGCTTTATATACATCTAAATATATATATATAAGAATATATATATGAGAATATATATATGAGAATATATATATGAGAATATATATATATATATATATATATATATATATATATATATATATATATATATTTATATGAATTTGT